ATTTGGCGAAAACATATGTTTGTTAATGGATGCACTAGTGTGGAATGTGGTTATTTCAATGTTTGTCCGATATGTGCGTGTAACATATCATTTTCACACAGGAATGTACAGCATTGCTATATCAATAGCAGTAGAGATAGCTAAAGATAAAATGGGTATGGATATGGGTAAACCATCCTGTTACAGTGATACATGTAGAAATTGTCTAATTTATCAAACTTGTTGTTTCAAAGATTTAAATAAGCATCACAAGCCCCGACATTAATACAAAAATTAACAAATTACATGTCCGGAATGGTATCTGACAAACGAATTCATTCTTCAGATTCTGGTTTCTTTTCGCTATTTAAAGAAGTGCTGCTAGGAACCTCACCTTTGCAGAAGAAATACAAGAGTGACGACTATCAGGCGAAAACCACATAGCCTGCAGCCAGCCCTATGATTACACCTGGACAAAAAGGAAATGTTAGATGTCAAAAACTAAATAAATATGTTGAACGCACATACTAGTTTACCCAAGAAATATTGGGCATGTCCAGTAAGTATGTATACTATATTGAAGTAAACGATCACTATGGAATGCACACCGAAAACTGCTACAACTATTAAAGTACACAATATATAATGATATGTCATGCAATCTTGACAAGGGGCCTGTTCCAATCAGAGCTGAGATGATTAAACACTAACAATAGTTGTAGAGCTGAGTGCCCATATCTGGTTTCCCCGCCTGATAAAACTGGAATATTGCTACAATCTGCGCAAACTCATACTCACTCACTAACGTTAAGCTAAGTCGCTTTGTGGAATATTGAGTACTACTGCATACAAACAATTTTCAATGAAACTGAATTCTTTATCACTTTCATTATGGACTGTTGATAATACTGTTATGGGGAATTGTGATGATAGATGTGGTTTTACACCACTTAACAACAATATTCAAACATTAGGAATCGAACACTGGTCTTCAGCGTGGCGAGCGAGCGCTATTATGACAGGGTAACCCCCTGCAGTGACCACTTACCCTTCTGACTATCAGTTGATGGACCGTCTGTGGTGGGATGAGAGGGATGAACAGTGGAAACTGTTGACAAAGATGGCGTTGCTATTTCAGCTATGATGGGGCAGGTGATATGACAAGTGTAATAGTCCCGTATAAACATCCAAAATTTGGTACATACAAAATGTTTAGGCTGAATGCAATAATTTGATTAGGTGTGTGGTAATGGGAAAATGAATCAGGATATCTGACAATATAACCAAATCTATATTTTTGAATGAATACGACTATGAATGAGAAGGGGGTTGGGTTGCTAAATGAAAAAGAGGGTACCAGTAACAAGATCTGAAGAAAGAAAAGTATTCATACGCCATTTTCTTTTCAAAGCTAGGCATGTTGATGTTGATGATTCAACGAACGGAAAAAATGGATTAAAGAGAATCCACTCCTACTTACCATTGTGTACAACTACATTTGTATCTCTCATGCTAATTACCTTCACAGATAGACGCAAGGCGAAAACTGCATGACACCCAGTACCGCTTCCATTTGCCATGGTTGTTTTTCAAAGCTAGGCATTGGCGTCTTGTTCTGAAAACATACAATAATCCACAGTCTGTACAATCCAACCAGCATTCATATTTACATAGTTATGTAAATTGTTGTACAAACTTACGTAAACAGATGAATATACTTGGTTCTATGCTGTTGCTGTCTAGATATTTGTTGTCATCAACTGCTATTTATTCAAACAAATCAAATACCCATTTCTTGCTGTAGACTTTTTTGTAATGTCATTTAAGAGGAATATCTTAACATTCATAATTGGAGCACAGAGTAATCATCGAATTGCATGAAATTGTTCAGACGTGTATGATTATTATAGTTATGTAACAATCAACTGCAGCATTTCCAGTGAAGTCGTCCTTGTTAGCAAATCTCGCAGTGATCGCCCGATTGGTGGGGTTTCCATATTTTACTTTATTCTGAATATATAGTCACCATTTTATACCGTTTTGTACAGGCATATTTTTAAAGTCTAACAATTTACCAAATGCTGAAATGATTTCTGCATATTTGATATTATATCATTAAGTTAGCCATTCGTTAGTGTCACTTTCAATTAAAGTTACACATGAATGGGCAACGTTTACGAAAACTTTTAATGATACAAGTGTCTATAGAAATGCAGGGTCCAAGAAGCAGCGAACGTTGGAAGTCATGCCTACACTTACTGAAGCTGCGCGAAAAAAATTATCATTTAGAGGTAGTCCACGGGTGACCATGACCACCAATGAATGCTTCATGCGCTAACCTCACCTGTGTAGCCACCTCTTAACGCCCCCTGTATCACTTCTGTAGTCCAAGGTTTTCGCAGAATTTCCGAGCACACCGTCAGGAATCGTTTGGTTAAGGGGGTGGGGGTAGGGGTGTCGGTATTAGCAGGTATTAGAGCCCTAAGTACAGTACGTGGCCTTGTTCTGTCACCACATTCAACTTCGTCTTTAATGGTGCCAAAATCATAATGGATGGCCTCAACAGTTATTAATCAATATTTCTCCTACGACTTCCAGATGGCATAACACGGGTATACAAGCGACATTGATGAACGTTTGGCGCCAAACTGTTTTCAGATTTGGAGGTGGCAAATTTAATGTGTTGTGTTCTCGCACTGTAAGAACAGACCTTGTGTACGTCACAGGCATATTTACAGCCGTTCGTAACTGCAGCGAGATCCTTTGGCCAAACTCGTACTTCATTCCATTCCTGAACCAACGTGACGTCATTGTCAACACAACACGTATTTCCATTCACGGACGATTTCCGAGCAAACAACAATATTCTAGTTCTTCAGTGCTCATCCAGATCAACAGATCTGAACCAAATTGAATATGTATTGGATGAATCTGATAGGCGTGTTTCACGACGTAACATACATTGCAGGACTTGTTGTAGGCCTTGCAACTAGAGTGAAATAACATCCCCAGATAGTTCTTGGAGATTCTTGTTAATTCCATCGCTCGGCAGTGTCAGGCTATCATTAATTCCAGTGGTGGTCATACACAATATGGAAGTGCTCCGTCTTTGACCTTGCTCATTTCGTAATGTAACTGAATTCTTAAAACACTGAGAATAAAGACGTTGTTATATGTTTGTAACCAACTGAAAAGCTCTTTACATATAAATGTCATTGAATTCAGCCATTGCGGTTTATTCTATTAATACTATACAACTTAAACTGACAGGTAAGCACAAAAATAATGAAACGTACCATCAACCCATTTCCTTGAGACTTTCAATACAAGCCCAATCCAAAAGTTATAAGATCCTGGAATATTCTGGATCTCTTTTGCAGTTGAATCGTTGAGTCTGATCAGATCATTTGAGTAATGAGCATGTGTCCATATCTGTTTCTGGCTTTTCGCTGATGGGGACACGCACACGCTCCCACTGCAGTTTGCCTGGGGAGTATCTACAAACATATGAAATACAATGTCCGGTAACGTCTTTTTAGTTTACAATTAGAAAGAAGCCGATGGTAACACAAGATAACGGAGTGACAAAATACATGGGTTTGTATGAGTGCTCCTATCATGAAAATCGTTGTGATGATATGCTTTTATGATAGTCCATGACAATACAAGATATGTATGCTTAGCATGATTATTGTGTTGTGGACTTCATGAAGGAAATTTCACTACATTTAGATATGTCAACGCTTGAAATGCATTCTGAAACCAGCATATGCTGCTTTTTAGCATTTTAGATCATTTACTTTTAAAAAGCGATATGTTTTCTGCAATCTGCATGCGCATGACAATTACGAGCTTCGGTTGACATTAGCGTTTCAGTTTAGTTGATTCTGGGGATTAAAATTTACATTTGTTAAATTCGCATTGGCCATGTGTGTCACTGGGTAAATCATTTCAGACTGCAGGAAACGCCGATTACGTAACAGAGTGATGTGAGATAACATAGGTCATACTTACTGTGGGAATAATATGCAAATCTTCGCACAAGGAGTATACAAGCGAGGTGATATTCAAATGTTATTGAAATTGTATGTGTCTTCAGGGCAACGGCACATCGCCAAGCTCCGACGGTATAAATCCAACGTTTCCTATAAAGAGGTGAAAGTGACATAAAGTCACACAAACATACACATGTTATTTATGACACAGCGTGATAATTTACATACAATTATCACGTACATTACTTGTAAAACCTTGAATGAGATGAATTGTTCAGTTTATGACAATTATCATATGGCTATTATGGTCACAACGTAGAGCAACCTGAAGTGAAACTTCAAGATAACAGCGTGATCTTGATGATTAGATTGTCACAATATCAACGTGAACTTTGAAGATACCACAAGATGATATGTTGCCTGTGAGTATAATCTTTTAACCATACTATCCGATATTTTATATAGTATAAGTGTAGGGACGCACATACCAGTACCACGTGTATAGACTGACATCCCAGCCGCGTCGCCACACATTTCATCTGGGTTGCCGGGACACTGCATTCCTCTTGCACTCGTATTTGTAACGTTGTACGAATGTCCGAGACAATAACACTTTACTCCCTACAAAACCCAAACACATAATGACTTTGTGTATTCGTGACTTTGTGTATTCGTGTATTCATTTCTGGTGTCCCCTGCTGTGATATTGCTTGAATATTGCTAAAAGTGGCGTAAAAACATACTCACTCACTGATTCACTCACTAACTCAAGAATGCCATTGAAACATATTATAACTTGTTACGTCTGTCATAAAAAAACCCATTGATATCAATATGTAGAGGATCTTTTATTATCCAGGTGTACATGTACAACATCCATTACATTAACAAATAGTACCCCTCCCTCTCGTGTTTCCTTCATGTGTCGTGTGTGGGTTTTCAAAACAGAAGAAAATGTACCAACGTGATCCTATTCTATATACCACTTTGGGATCAATTGTATTTGTGACAAAAAAAACCTCTTACGCTCAGGCCCACTGTACGGTTGGTTTTACAATGAAGTTGACACTCGTAAACAGAGTTACTGGACACATTGTTTGGGCTCGTTGTGGGTGATGCACTGTACCCATCATAGTTGTAGAGAGGGGTACCATCTTCTGTAATATCATATATTAGAGGCTTCAGTAACATACTAACTTCAAGTACAATTAATGCATAGACAACGCCACATTGATACATATATAGTATCTATTTAGCTTTGGGAACTACATGTACTTTTACTTTTGTAGACTCACCTGTCCATATCCATGTTGAATACCTCATGGCTCCTACCCAATAGCTTTTGTTACTGTGTAGAGAGTTTTCCACGACTGGAGGGAGAAACTCTGTATCAGAAATATACAGATCTCTCTTCGGCGCCATCTTACAGTTTTCCCGAGCATCCCACCAGTTGTTTTCCTGCTCGTTTATGAAGATGTGTTTTGTCTCCGTGGCTTCAAATGATTAATTAACATATTTTAAAATTATATCCACTGTTGGTATATACATATGCGACATAGTCAAGACATCTGCTTTCAGATATATAAGTATATATATTACTCCAAGTTTGCTAATGATCACCACTTTAAAAGGTAATACGTCAAATTGCGTGCATCTGTTGAAATAACCAAAGGCAATATTGCGTGAAGACAAGTTTAATGAATCAAAGTCCGTCGTTATTTGCCACACAATGTCAGCAAACAAGGTGTGACCGATAATCAGTCAGATCACCTGTCAAAAAGAGAATATCTCACCAAAACTGAAACGTCCAAAAATCACGAAAACAAATTCATTGTCCCCCAAAAACAACGCTAAGTCGCGCATATGAGATCTACGTGGTGCGGTCACAGCTTATCGCTGTCATCTCTTGCTCCCAATATACAAACATGCTCAGGATATAGTCGGAATCGTACAATCGACTCTGCTTTTGGCAGAAATTTCTTATGAATATGGAAAGAGTTTTGTCGCTAATATTTGCCACAGAGCCGGTTTCGGCAGATTACAGGCGCGTGGTAAGAAATGCCCCGGCCTAATTAATATCCACTTGGATATGCTAATCACGAACCTTCTGTGAAAAAGGAAAATTCATTCTACTGTCAGGTAAATCATCGTCTAATTTGAGAAGATGTTCTTATTTTAACTTGAAAAGCCATGTTTGATTGTTTGTTTTCATTCTGCCGATGTGTAGATCTTTGTTTCAAAATGTTTGTAAGCATGGTATCATCACTATTTGATTGTGATTCACAAACACATGCCTATGAGATAGTCGGAGTCGTACAAAGGATTACTATAAGCGCTACTTAATATTATGGGAAATCAATGGTTTTGTCTCTTTTATAACAAACAGATAGGGGATATTGTCACAGAAGAACGTTCATCAAGCCGAACACAAAGAAGGCACAGCATGACATTGGTGTAAATTATCTATTTGAGATGACGCAAAGTCAGAAAATGTGTAAAATAGCTTGATAGCGTTAGGTGTAACGCTTTGTAGTGATTACAGTCTGTTGTCATATGTTGCACATTTACCTCAATTTACAATACCGGACGCAAGTCAAACAATCATATTAAACAACCATAAGGTTTTTTTCCCTCTAAACAGGATGTAGACATGCTCCTAAAACTGCCAATCATTGATATCTTTTGATCGGATATACGACGCTATATATTTAATCTGGTGTATCTATACATTTGTTGTAACTGTCTATTATTATAGAAACACGTTTAACAGCTTTTACTTTGTACATGATATGTTGCATTCCATTGAACGTGATCAAAATACGTTTGCACAATACAATACTTATCACGCATGGACCAAATATAACATTCGATCGACTGGTGTTTCATTACTAAATCAGACAAAAACGCACATCTAGAAAAAGTATATCGAATTATGTTAGGAGCCCATTAACTCTATGCACAAATATCAGTCAGTTGTTTCAGTTGATTACAGTATGTTGTCATATGTTGCACATTTATCTCAATTCACAGTAGTGAGTGAGATGCGTTTAACGCCACTTTTAACAATATTAAAGTCATATCGCGGCGTGTCAGCTTAATGTGGGAGGAAAGCCCGAAGTGATGCAGGTCTCAGACGTTTATCAACTTCGATTAAACCGAAGCACGGATATGGTTCTGACAAAGCTAGAAGCATCGTCGGGGCGAACCGGGATTCGAACCCACAATCATAGGTTTCTGGCGTACCCAAGGGACGGAACTCTGCACAGCGAAACGTTTAGACGACTGGGCCACCCATGCCCCTCAATTCAAAATACCGGGCACAAATCAACAAATCAAACAATAATATTAAACAAGCATAAGGGGTATTTATGTCCAAACAGGATGTAGACATGCACATAAAAATGCCAATCAATGATATCTTTTGAATTGATACATGACGCTATATACTGAATTTGGTGTACATGTACATTTTTTTGTAACTGTCTATTATTATAGAAACACATTTTAACTGCTTTTACTTTGTACATTATTTGTTTTATGTCCATTGAAGCTGATCAAAATCTTGCTAGGAACCCATTAATTCGTTTCAAATATATCAAATGAAGTTATTTCATTATTTGATTTATTTTAAAAAAAAAGTTATTGGAGCACAATCCTTTGAGTACAATCCTTTAGCACTAACCAGGTTCCTTGTATTGTTTGTATGGTAACATTTTCTGATATATTGGAGATAGAGCTTAGCTAATTTTACTGGATGTTACCTGATTCGACATCAATATGTCATTCTGTGCTGACGTCAGTACATCTACGATGGCTGGTCAATACGTTCTAAGCCTGACTAACTTTCAACTATGGGTCATTAAAAAAGTGAACTAGTCAATGTACTACATTGTTGGAGTAGTTCATTGCAAGAGTGTTTGGTCTGTTGAGGCCTGTAGTATATTAGTGACAGCCCGAAATGGAAAAGAACGAGTACCGAGCAGTCATCGAGGTATTGACTTTAGAGAAAAATACTTCCCCAAACATTCATGACCGCATGTCACAAGTGAATGGGTATAAGAGCCAAAGCTATTCAACTTTTAAAGCAGCTATTAGGACACTATTTGACAGCTATGTATAAGGCTTGATGAACAAGTCTTGATGATGACTCTTGGTCTGGACCTCCCTCAACTTCCATCCATGAAGATTCAATCTAGCGATAGAAACACTATAATGTCACGTAGACGTATTACCATTGATGAACTCGGGGAAGACACAGGTCTAAGCCATGGATTGAATGATACTATTATTCATAAATATTTACAGATGAATAAGATATCTGCTCGTTGGGTGACAAAGTTTCTAAATTCTGATCTTAAGAAAAAAGAACTGGCATTGCCAGAGACATCTTAGAGATAAGTGAGGATGATTTCATCAAATTAAGAAAGAGATAAGTAACGGGTGATGAAACATGGGTCTACCAGTTTGATCCCTAGTCAAAACGTCAATCCATGGTTCCACTTCTCCGGCCTACTATGCTGATTTGCTTCATCGCTTGAGAGATTCTATCAAATAAAAACAGCGAGGAAAGGGGTTCTACTACTTCATAACAATGCCTCTTCTCACACCTCTCGACATGTAAAGGCTGCTGTGCGACAATGTGGGTTCGAAGAGCTTCCTCACCCCCAATATTTCTTATATGAGATATCAATATAACGTACAGCCTCTTTAAGGATGTAAGCAAAAAGTACACGCTTTAATCATATCTTCCCGTATTTAAATAATGATGACTCCCCGAATAGAATCAGACCGCGGCAATGTCGGACAAGTCCATTTCATGCACATGAGGGTTATATTGGTCTTTCGAAAATATTCTCACAATTGTTGCGTCGATTACTGTAATTTTGCTCCTAATACCGATTGATATATCTATCTCACTTTTGGATGTTATCGTTCGGTCAATGCGTTTATCTGCGTTGCCCTGTTACATCTATGGGGAACACCTCACTAGACACTTCCCTCTAAAAAATAACGTTGTCCTATATACTGACGTCATAAAATATGTTTGAATCTCCAGAAATGACGTCCTGATAGAACAATATGCTTCGTTCTTCATTGTTCTTTGCGAATATTCATTATTCATCAATATCTCATATTTCATTTAGACATTAAAATGACTTTAAAGGACATCATTTGAAAAACGTTTACTTACATATGTTGACACTAGTTGCATATACACAGTGCAGGCAACAGACAAGCAGCCTCGCCGTCCACATATCTCCGGCCTGTGTGCATATACCTCTACTCGCTGTGGTTTACCCAACAGGGAAGAAGAACGCTCACAACGGTTCGAAAGAAGTGATTATTGTAACGCATAATCTGTGAAAGACTTTTTTTTTCGATGAATTGCAATATCATAGTATCGAATTTTCCTAATGCGATTACATATACCATGAGCTAAATATAGAATACTAAACGAGCTCCCGTGTAATACCAATTTTATGAAACGAGTGAATAGTTGTGGTATCTGACGAGCGAAAGCGAGTCAGATACCGCAACTATTCACGAGTTTCATAAACTTTGTTTTACACGAGAGCGAGTTTAGTATTTTATTTATTACTTGCCATTTATAGCGTTTTTTTAGAATTATGCTGTTGAATGTGAATATGCTGACACCTACATGACCCACGGCATAATCCAATTGAGTTCAACATAATAATACTTCAAACACGTCAAAAGTTGAAACATAATTATGAATTTAATACCATTCAGGCGTCCGTTCCACAAAACTATCGTAGCCCTAAGGTTATCGCAACTCACGTACTTTAACTTAGACCAACGACTGTCGTTGCGCTACAGTACGATCGCCTTGTGGAACGGGGCCTTGCACCTCAAAGTTTACAATCACGTCACAGTACCCGATGACGTAAGTTGTGGAATTTTGTTGCAAGATCCAACGGCGAAACAATGCCATGTGACGTCAGCCTAGCAACAAGTTTGCTGGGGTTATCGAGTGTGGATAAGCTCCTCTCAGTGATCTATCATCTCCACCCGCAATGTCGCTCAATAAGCCAAGGGATGTCGAGAGCTTTCAATATTTGTTCGTAAAACGTGTTCCGAGAGTACATAAGCACGCGTTTTGGTATTACACAATGTGTAATACAGCTGTATGTTTATTAAACGGGTGATCTCTTCACGGGCAAGTAATACATTTAGTTACGAGGGTTGATTGATAAGATCTGAGCCTCACGAAGAATTGATTAAGATGGAAATCTTTCGTTGAGGACATTACATTATATAGAGGTATATACACAGTACTTGGGTCATTTGAACACATTGTTTCGCTGTGACAAGCCAGTAAAATACGCAGGGGTCTGCGACCTTTACAAAAGTGGATAAACTTTAGGAACGTGGAGTGATCAAGAACTTGCAATCTTCTGTTTGGACTCAGACCGGTCGTAGTGAAACAAGGGTTTCATCCATACTCATAAATCGTTAAACAAAAATCGTTCTGCGTCAGCTTCACACAGAGCTAGATTATCACGGGAGACGTTCCTGGTGCGTTTTTCTGATCAGATGTCATTGCTAGATTTTCTGTGAAGTAATCTGTCCTCGGGAAAGAAATACGACGCTGCCCACTTAGACTTATTCTTTGCTGCCCACCTTTTAACAGTTGTTTAGGAAGGAGCACCAATCCCTGTTATGAAAACCATTCCTTCCAGGTCAGCTTAAAACTTCACCTTTAATCAACCTTCGTACATACCACACCTCAATATTTCATGCTTTCCAAAAGAGGAAGAGACTATCCCCCCTTCATTTACTTCCTGTGTGACAGGTTGGAATTTATGCATAATATAGCACAGGGAACTGTTGTATCTATTTGCAAGAAATTGTAACATTCATTATTATTTCATTTCCTTCATCAGTTACGCGAATTCTCATAACCTACACTTCGTTTCTACATCTGCCTGTGTCCTGTTTGTGCATGTGTTGATGACGGGTGCCACTGGTGGGGCATATATACGCTCACCTTTTCGCGAACACCTGGTGTCATCGCTATTTGATAGTGATTCATAAACATGTGCAAATGATATAGTAAGAGTCGTACATTGCTAAATATTCATGGCCTGCAAATGCGTCTTGAGGTCACCGAGAGCATCTGCTGAAAATGGCAACACAGTCAAGGCTGATGAAAAAATGCGTCAAAAGCGTGAAACTTATCAGTACAATTCAAACTGTCGGACATGTTTCATGGACAGTTAATCGGGTTTAAAAGGATATACACGGTTCGTTTTTGTTCATCTTATTTGAAATCCCTGTTAAAATCATTCTCAAAATGTCTGACGCTGCTAACCTTGCCATCTTTGCACGATCAGCGATGTTGTTTATTGAATAAGCCATGTAGCTTATCGTAAAGGTAACGTGCGGCCTTACATTCTGTGTTTAATATTCATTTAAGATCATGCACATGAACGCAAAACATTTCGTTATTAACAGTGTCAGCTGAGGGGAAATCGTCCAACTGTGTCCTCCCTTCTGTGGTCAACCTGAGCCATGTGAACTGACACACGTCCATTCAGCGAAATAGATAATCAGCTGCATGTACATATTTAAAAGAAGATAATTGTTTTCTGCCACAAATCAAATTACTTCCGGATGTTTTCAATCATCACGGTCCTAACGTCTGTTGCTTGATTAACGACGCACTCAGCAATATTCCAGCTATATAACGGCTGTTTTCTTTATCCGTAAAAAGTCATTTCCAACTAATTAGTAACATATTTTAAAACCAGTCAAGAGAAACATGTCAGTGTTCAAAAACAACATGCGTCTTGTCTATTTCCAAATGACTGAATGTGTACCCTATACTATGAATATGTTGCATTGCTGTGTTGAGGACCTCCTTGACAAGGACATTTAGGTTATATTCAAGTTATCGAATTGCGAAGTGACTTAGGTTATAACTAACTATTATGTTATGATGTTTTAGTAGTCATGATCACCAGCCTAGACAAGCATGTAGGGGGCACGTGCGGCCCAGTCGGTTTCGCTGCCACAATTCGCTGTGTAGAGCTGCTTCCCTTTGGCACACCAGAAACCTGTACGTGTGGGTTCGTGCTTGTGGGTTTCAAAGTTGTAACCTGCAACAACTTCGGACTTTCCTCCTACATTGAACTGACACGCAGTGATATAACTGGAATACTGTTAAAAGCAGTGTTTAACCCAACTAACCCACTCACTTTTCACGGAAAGAAATCAAGAAATGATCGTTTTAAAGGACAAGTAATGTGAAAAAAATTATATTTCGCATATCGATTTTCCTAGATACATCTAGTCAATTTTCGAGAGATATATTCGTAATATCCGTACAAAAAGTATCAAATTTTCCAAGTGAAAGTTCTGAAATCACAGGCCCTGTAATCGGCTTCCACAACAAACCTCCAAAGGGGATGATCTAAAGCTGTTTTCATTCAATTTGGCTGATAGGTTTGCCGCCTTTATATATCTTGTGCTTCTTAGCCGTAATACATAGATTTCTGCTATTTCCTGTAATCCTACAAAAAAATAATAGCATTTAGCGTTAACCGCTAAACTGTGTTATTGTTAGCGTCGCCATATATGGGTTTGTTTATATTGCTATCGCTATGCTGCTGGTTATCCGCTTACACAGCGGAAACCGATAACAAAATTCCAGCCTGCTGTACAGTAGGTGGAATTCATTCGCTCGCTGTGCTCACCTCGTCTGCTAGTTCACAGAGGAGTGGTGATAGTTAAATGATATGCTCTCGCTGCTTCGGCTTCTCACCCTTGTTTAGCCATCCACACATATTTGCCACTACTACCAAAGAAAATATCTTCTTTTCTATTTTCATAGCGTCAGTCCACCAATAACAACATTGTATGCATTGTGAAATATGTGAAACGACCTTTGATCTTGGCATCGTGAATAATTGAAATAGCAACTAACAATCTATAACTAGCGTTTTATTACTAACAACCTGTTTGAGTAATAAAGTACCAGCTGCATCGGCCCGATTCCACACAATAAATGCCTGTCAGGGATAAATCCCCTGAGTAAACAACTGAAGGCATCTTCAGTGTTGTTACATAGGTGACATAAGTTGTGGACATGGTTAACAAATAGATGAACAGACAGAAAAAAGACATAACGTATTTAATAAATCCGAGGCAGAAGCAAGCAGACTGGGCGTCGCCCCCGTCATGATCGTTGAAATTGCACAGCACGTCAGACACCGGGAACCCGTTTTAACCCCAGTAAGGGGGATCCCCTCATTGGTGGTTTGTTTCGTTTTGACGACTTTGCATGTCGTTTTATCGTCTGTTTTAAGCTATTTACGTTTTTCAAATATGATTTTGGTCAAACATTTATCATTATGTATGCCCTAAAGTACGAACAATTTTACAAAGCTGCTATGGTGACTTTACATGCCCTTTAAGGTAATGGAAGCGCCGTACAATGTATTGAAGAGGCTTTCATCGATATTGGTTAGAAATTCACACCGCCCATTGGTTCATAGAACAATCAGTTCTATGTTTAATACTGACGCGAGACACCTGGATAATACAGATCATGACTAACGTAAATTGTAGCGTAGACCATTTGGGTCCAAACGCAACCTCTGCTTTCAGTAAGTGGCTGATCTGTTTCCTCATGTATGTGAATCATAATTTCTGCTCTGGTTGGCAATGTAAAAATATGTTACTTGGCCAAGAAGTTTACATCTGTTACATATTTAGATCTATGCATAAAGATTTAGAGTGACTCTTCACAAGACTGTATGACAAGAGGGATGAGTTCAACTTTTAATAGTCAACTTTGCCTTTATGTCGAGCACTATTCCGGCAGCTCCAGCCATTAGTGTCTACATTTCGCAACTATGAAATACAATCGAGCATGTTCTTTCTACCAAGGATTCAAAGAGCGTCATACAACTCTTGCTGAGAAGTTGTTTGATTATGGTTACAACATTTATGGTAGACATGTGGGGGACGTTTCCAAATTTGACGCAACAGTAACAAAAATGATTTCCTATTTTCACTTCTACCACATGTTCCCGTATTGTTTTAGGTGAACAGAGGTCTTTGCATGTTTTTTTGTGACTGGTGCCACCGATGGAGCAGGATACGCTCCCCTTTTCGCGAACACCTGGAATCACCACTATTTGAGAGTGATTCATAACCACATGCTCAAGATATAGTCGGATTCGTATAATCGACTCTATTTTTGGCAGAGATTTCTTATGAATATAGAAAGGGTCGCTTTTATTTAAAAGATCGGGTGGTTAGGTTAGGTGGCTTTGGTGGCGTTGAACGTTGCTTATGATATCAAACGCTAGTTTGTCAGGCCCATATGACAATATATTCGTGATATCATAGCTGTGATATTGCGGACTGCGGCGTTAAACACAACTGTATCATGAATCTGGAAATTACTTGATTCCGAATCGAATCCGATCGAAATAACCACCTCTAATTGAAACAGTCGATATGATGGCCGCATCAAGCTGCTTCCTTCAAACTGTGGACAGAGCTGGCGGAAGTTTCACGTATAGAGACAAACTGAATACGCGGGCTATTTTGGCCCTGTCAATTAATGATTTAATAACGACATTGTCACACAGATTGTACTCTTAGCTTCAGTAAATTGTTTTTGTACGCATAACTACATAAACCACTTTCATTCATAATGTTTCAATTTCTTCTGTAACATTTGTAGCCTCAGATATCGCAGTGATGTACCTTATTATTTTTATCAGGTTGTAAACAATGAGCACTGGTTGGTAACATCCACTACTCAGAACCAAACTTCCCTTGATCCACACATACATGTATGACATGATTTGTTACATGAAGTAAGCGAGTGGCTAAATTTCGGAACACGATTTTAAGATCGTCTGGAAACAGTTTGTATGAATAAGATTGTTTCACAACATAAGACGAAACACGTTTGTGTATAAAAGTACATTTTATTCATATAGTTTCAAGAAGCTGATCATTTAATATAGGACACGTAACCTGCTGGTGGCACTAAATTGTTATGAGTGTGTATTCAATGTGCATTCAAATTTTATTTTCCGTTCCCAACTATGAGACTAGGTTAACATACGCACTACGATCTCACCCTACCTGGTACCCATTCCGAAGCCCCGGAAACCCTCTCGAATCAAGCTGCCAAACACGGACCCACCAATCTTCTCTCCGCGACCAACGTTGGGGAAATTCGACTGATTTGTGACCTGTGTGCATCACGTGAAGCATGTATACATGACAAATACCTTCCGCACTAAGTCACAATTGTATGGCAAATGATAAAGGATGCAAAATGCAAATATATGATAAACTCATTGTGCACATATCTGTATGTGCAATTATTCATTATCTATGGTTCACAGTAGGTAATAAACATTTGGTGATAAACCTTTTTTTGCATAGGAAAACGTTTGTAGATGTACACACTTGCGGAAATGAAGGTCACAGTTGGGATCCAACATTTTGTCAAATGGGTCAATTAATGCTAACATTAACTCATGTATCCGGCCCCAACGGTGGCACCCGCCACAATCACATGCAAGGGTAAATCAATTGTTGGACTCAAAATTGATAATTGCATCGGACATCATTTTGGACACGCATGCGTTAAATTTGTAAATGTCTTTCACGTGTCCACCATCATCAGAGAGCTTTACTAAGGCCTCGAGTGCTGTAAGCAACTCTTGGGCTTAAGTCGTCGGACGTTTTTTGAAATATTCGTAGGAAAAGCATGCTCGATATCGATTGTACCTCAAAAGATTTGAAATGTGGACAAAAAAAGCTGGAGCTACTGGAATATAACGAAAAGGCAAACTACAATCAACTTCTCAAGACAATTAAATGGCGCATACGATAGTATTTAGATAGTACTTATCATAACCATTGATAAAAACCGACAAAACCTGTATTCAGAACAAAAACCTGCATAAAAAGTTAAACGATGGTGATTAAATAATACTTGTGTATAATATTGTGTAAAGAAATCAGGTGTGAATATGGTTGCAAAATGGGAAACTTTTTCAAAATATCTGATTACATTACTAATAACAAATTATTCATTGAATTAATTAAGTTTAACGGAATATTAATCTACTGCAGATGTATTTTTGAAAGTTGAGAGAAATTAAGGTTTGAAACGCGTTTTGAATATGTTCAGTCAGTTGAGAGAGGCCTCAAAGTGGCAACGTGTTACAATGCATGTGGGCGTATTATTTGAACAAGAAATACATAAGTAAACATAAACATGTAAATATATTTTACAATATAGAAAAAGATATATGGAAATTATTACGTGAAATTAAGTGTCTGAATCGTCTTCAAAACTGCCATACAAAAGAGAGCATACACTTGAAAATCGGATTTGACCCAAAAGTTACAAACGTTATCAAAACGTTAGCCGGGTATCTGTGAACCAACTCAAACTGACATTGACAATACCCGTTTCACTCTGCCCATTATATTACCTTCGAATTTCTTGTTTGTTTCGCTTTTTCGCTCGTCAAGCCGAAGACCCGGGTTCGATTCCCGACATGGGTACAATGTGTGAAGCCCATTTCCGGTGTCCCCCGCCGTGACATTGCTGGAATATTGCTAAAAGCGGCGTACAACCATACTCACTAGTGGGCTGAATGTCGGGTATCTGTGAACCAACTCAAACTGACATTGACAATACCCGTTTCACTCTGCCCATTACATTGCCTTCGAATTTTTTTGTTGTTTCGATTTAAACCACCCTCACCACCCTCACCACCCTCACCACCCTCACACCTCACACTCTTCAATGTTAAACTGCATCACTAATACATTTTTAACCACTCTTTAACTTAGAAGTACTTACTTTAATTTATTTCATAATTGTTACATAATATCCGCCAAGATGTGGTTCTTTGATCTATAAAGAGAGACTTTTGCTTCAAACTAGTTTTCATCCAGCAACACTTGAAAGATAACCCCATGTTATGTACAGTTACATTTCTCATGTCCTAGAAGTACTTCCCTTTGTACGACCAGACACTACTACCTATACTATCCGGATCTCTGCAACAAATATATCATTACCACGATTTCAATTATCTCTGACGACAGATCATGTGTTATACTCATCAGTGGCCTTACATGTGGTCTCATACGTATGGTTGTAGGTGTCATCCAACCTGATCACATCAGGCCCAGCACTAGCGACATCATAGTCACCTTCTTCAAACACCTTGTCTATCGCGCCAATGTGACTGTACGAGTCATTTACTTTTCTGGCGTTCTCCCCTTGCTGTGGGGTGTCGTAGTTTCCCTCTGCAGCTTCCGTGGGGTCATACAAACCAGCATCACTTTTATCCCCTCCCGTGGAGCTGCACTTCTCGAAGGTGTGGTACTGAACACCCTCGTCGGAGTTGGCTACACCAGAACCTCCTGCAGATTTGTCCAGTCCAGTGTCCCTTCCATCTCCGCTTCTGTACTGTAGAATACATTCTGCTGTGTCGTAGTCGGGTCCGGAGAGATGCATGTAGGGCTTTCCTCCTGGCATGTCGGTGTGTTGTTTACTGGGCGTTGAGAGAGAATTGGACACCTTCTCAACATCAGTCTCAGGATGGTTCACGTAGAATTTCTCAGTGTGAGCATTGGGGTTTACTGTCGCCGTTGGAACAGGGGGAGTGAAAGGCTTCCCGTCAATTGTGTCTGGGGTTATAACAGAATATGCGCCATTGTCTCTCGGAACATCGAGACCGTCGTAGATCGTGTTTTCTGTTGGCGGGTTGAAGTTCACCTGTTGATTCGTATCTCTTCTATCCAAATGGAGTTTGCGTTGTCTGAAACAACATTTGAAACATGATTGAATGTGATGTACAAACATGCCCTTAATAATAAGTTCAAATAAGTTATGCTTACTTTATTGTTAATATTTAGCACAGTAAGTGGTTAATAAGTTCAGTTGTTCTTTTTAAGTGGTATACGCAAAGTAATCATTGGAATAACTTTGAAGGAAAATGGCCCCACTGGTCATCTCGGTCGGATTTGAGAGGAATCCATATTTAATAAGTTCACGTGACTGTCATATCACTGGCGGCAGTCGTGACCATTATATAAATGCTTCTCGATATCAACTTGTATAGTATGGTATACTAAGGAATTATGCTATATTACTACTCCATTGCGTCCCGATGTATCATGACTAGTGGATCGAAATGTGTCGGGGCTTGTATCCCGTCCTCAACACTGACAAAACTGTCATGCTACTCATTTATAGGTCATATGGATTTGGCGAAAACACATGTTTGTGAATGGATGCACTAGTGTTGAATGTGGTTGCTTCAATGTTTGCCCGATATGTGCGTGTAACATATCATTTTCACACAGAAATATACAGCATTGCTCAATACCAGTAGAGAAAGCTTAAGATCAATTACTAATGTGTAAACCATCCTGTTGAAATATAAGAAAAGTGATACATGTAGAAATTGTCTTATTTCACAAAACAGTTGCTTCAAAGATTTAAATAAACATCACATTAATTTAACAAAATAACAAGTTACATGTCAAGAATGGTATCTGATAAATGAATTCATTCTTCAGATTCTGGTTTCTTTTCGCTATTTAAAGAAGTGCTGCCAGGAACCTCACCTTTGCAGAAGAAATACAAGAGTCACGACTACCAGGAAGAAAACCACACATCCTGCAGCCAGCCCTATGCTTACACCTGGACAAAAAGGAAGTGTTAGATGTCAAAAGCTTGATAAATATGTTAAACGTACATACTAGTTTACACAAGAAATATTGGGCATGTCCAGTAAGTATGTATACTATACTGAAGTAAACGATCACTATTGAATGCACACCGAAAACTGCTACCTTCATAGAAGTACACAATATATAATAATATGTCATGCAATCATGACAAGGGGCCTGTTACAAACAGAGCTAAGATGATTGTACTTTTGATATTTTAGCATAAACTAACAACAGTTGTGGAGCTAAATGCCCATTTCTGGTGTTCCCCGCCTGATAAAACTGTAATATTGCTATAATCTGCGCAAACTCATACTCATTCACTAAGTCGCATTGTGGAATATTGAGTACTACTATATACAAACAATTAATTTTCAATATTGTAAGGAATAGAGATACGTGAAACTGAATTCTCTATCGCTTTCACATGGACTGTTGATAATACTGTAATTGGTAATTGTGATGATAGATGAGGTTTTACACCACTTTTAATAATATTTAAAAGTGAGGAATCGAACCCTGCTCTTTAGTGTAGCGAGCGAGCGTTTTTATGACAGGGTTACCTCTGCAGTGACCACTTACCCTTCTGAATATCAAGAGCTGACGGACTGTCTGTGGTGGGATGAGAGGGATCAGCCCTGGAAACTGTTGATAAAGATGACGTTGCTAGTTTAGATATGATGGAACGGGTGATATAACAAGTGAAAAAGTCTCCTCGTATAAACATCCAACATGAGAGAGAGAGAGAGAGAGAAAGAGAGAGAGAGAGAGAGAGAGAGAGAGAGAGAGAGAGAGAGAGAGAGAGAGAGAGAGAGAGAGAGAGAGAGAGAGAGAGAGAGAGAGAGAGAGAAAGGGTGTGTGGATGGGGTGGCGGGCGGTAGTAAGATCTGAGGAAGAAAGGAACACATTCCTTCATTAATAAGAAAAAGGACGATGTTGTTTTGCATTTTAGTATCATCTTATAACATTATCTGAGCGATGTATACGAGTGAATTAAAGAGAATCCACTCCTCTTTACCATTGTGTAAAACAACATATTCGTCTGACGTGCTTAGTACCTTCACAAACAGAGGCAAGGCGAAAATGGCAGGGTAGCCAGTATGGTTTCCAGACGCCATCTTTTTTCAAAGCTTGGCATGTCGATATTTGTGAAACAACGAACGGAAGGAAGATGTAATCCTCATTTCCATTGGCCTCTTGTCCTGGAAACATACAATTATCCACTGACTGTACAATGCAACCAGCGGTATTAATTATTCTAATTGATAAGGTTATGTTAATAGTTGTACATACTTACGTAAATAGATGAATGTATTTGGTTCTATGCTGTTGCTGTCTAGTTATTTGTAGTAATCAACTGCTAACTTATTAATTCAAACAAATCAAAGACCAATTTCCCGCTGTAAACGTTTTTTACAATTTAGTGAGTGGCTGAGTATGTTTTTACGCCGCTTTTAGCAATATTCCAGCAATATCACGGCGGGGACATCAGAAATGGGCTTCACACTTCGTACCCATGTCGGGAATCGAACCCGGGTATTCGGCATGACGAGCGAACGCTTTAACTACAAGGCTACCCGACCGACCCTTTTTACAATTTAAACTGACAGGTTAGCACAAAATAATAAAACGCACCATCGACGTATTTCCTTGAGACTTTCAATACAAGCCCAATCCAAAAGTAATCAGTTGGTCCTTTAATATTTTGGATCTCTCTTGCAGTGGAATCGTTGAGTCTGATCAAATCATTTGAGTAATGAGCATGTGTCCATGTCTGTCTTTCCGCTGATGAGGACACGCACACGCCCCCACTACAGTTTGCCTGGGGAGTATCTACAAACACATGAAATACGACGTCCGGTAACGTCTTTTTAGTTGTACATTTAGAAAGTAGCGGATGGTAACACAAGATGACAGAGTAAAACGCAATATATGGGATTTTATAAGTTCGTATTTTAGTAAAATCGTTGTGATGATATGCTTATAAGATAGGCCATGACAATACAAGATGTTTATGCTTAGTGCATTGTGTTGTACTTGTCGTGGGCTGCATGAAGGAAATTTCAGTCTATTCAGATATGTCAACGTTTGAAATGCATCTTCAAAGCAGTTTCATCTGCTTTTTAGCATTTTATATAATTTACTTAATACATGTTTTCTGCGCTCTCCATGCGCGTGACAGTTACGATCTTGGGGTGACATCAGCGTTTTAGTTTAGTTTATTCTGAAGTATTAAAGTTTACATTTGTTGACTTCGCATTGGTCATGCGTGTCCTGGGTAAATCATTTCAGACTGTAGGAAACGCCGATTGTGTCACAGAGTGATGTGAGATAACATAGGTCATACTTACTGTGGGAATAATATGCAAATCTTCGCTTATAATCTATACAAGCGTAGTAATAGTCTAGTTCTATTGAAACTGTATTATTCATTTTCACTCCATAAGCACATCGGCCATCCTTCGAGGGTTTAAATCCAACGTTTCCTACAAAGAGGTGAAAATGACGTAAAGTCACACAAACATACACAAGTTATTTATGACACAGCATAATTTACATACAATTATCAGGTACATTACCTATACTTGTAAAACCTTGAATGAAATGAATTGTTCGGTTTATGACAATTATAATATGACTATTATGTTCACAACGTAGAGCAGCCGAAAGTAAGGCTTCAGGATAACAGCGTGATCTTGATGATTAGCTTGTCACAATATCAACGTGAACTTCGAAGATAACACAAGATGATATGTTGCCAATGAGTACAAGCTTTTAACAAGCTTATCCGATATTTTATATAGTATAAGTGTAGGGACGCACATACCAGTACCACGTGTATAGACTGACATCCCAGCGTCGTCGCCACATATTTCATCTGGGTTGCCCGGACACTGCATCCATCTTGCACTCGTCTTTGTGACGTTGTACGAATTTCCGAGACAATAACACTTTTCCCCCTACAAAAAAACAAAACAACAAACACATAATGACTTTGTGTACTCCTGTCATAGTCAACCAGGGCACGGCATCCCACCTGCTGCACTGGTATTTGTGAGGTGAGGTGGAATGGGGTTTAACGTCGCGTCCAAGATTATTGCACTTATATAGCGACGTGCATGCACGTGTATCTATATGTGAGGCTGCTTGTACTAGTCCGGACTAATGCCGATTTATAGTGCTAGCTCACTGAGATACCATGCCGCAACATGAATACCCCACTCAGACACAGTATACTGACTCCGAGCCGACCAGTCCTTGTTTTAGCCCCTTAATGCCGAGCGCCAGACAGGGTAACAACAAGTACCATCTTTTAACGTCTTTTGGTATGACGCGGCCGGGGATCGAACCCCGGACCTTCCGCTCTCCGGGCGGACGCTCTACCACTAGACCACGAAGGCGGTCCACTGGTATTAGTATATGCTTACTTTTTCCAAGACAATAACACTCCTCCCCTTCCCACAACAAACCACAAAATATGTTGTATACTCCTGTCATAAAAAGAGTATTTTCCTAACATGACTAATGATATGAACTAAAGCGGTTCTTACATTATCATGGTGTGCTTGTACAACATCAGTCACATTCAGAAATAGAATCCCTACCTCCCTCATGCTTTCTGTATGTGTTGTTTGGGGTTTTCAAAACAGAAGCCAATGTAAATATGTGATAGAATTCTTTTAACCACCCTTTCAGACACAAAAGGTTTTACTGTCCTACGTTCAGGCCTATTGTGCGGGTGGTTATAAACTAGTATCCAAAAGAAACGATACCAACTTATTTTCAAAATTGTTTTTTACTAAGTGAATTGTCTAGTATGAAAACATGCCAATTCGTATTGCACATCCCAAACACAGCATAGTCGATAAAAAATACCGGGAACACGTGATCACTTCCGGGAAAAAACGTAAATTTCGTGAAAGTGACATTTCCCTCTCTAGCATGTTATGCACGTGCATAAAAACTGTATAAATCGGCTGATCAGACACGTTGATATCACAGCAACAAAAAGAACACAAGATATGCCACGTTTGACAGCCATCGAGAGAGAGAGAGCCGTTGGAATGGTCCAACAAGGAGCGTCACACGTCGACGTCGCCAGAAGGTTGGGCTGCGCACGCATCACTATCACCAGGTTGATGCAGCGGTTACGTTAGACAGGTCAGACGTCAGACAGGCCCAGGAGTGGAAGACCACGAGTAACCACGCCCCGTGAACATCGTTACATCCGGGTAATACACCTAAGGAACCGCACCGTAACAGCGACGTCCACGGCGGCTAAAGCACTGGGACACAGGATCAGTCGACAGACCGTCTACAGGAGACTACGGCAGTATGGTATCCGGCCACGTCATCCCTACCGCGGACCGCTCCTGACGCCTCGACACCGGAACAACAGACTGACTGGGCCAGGCGAGTTCGACGTTGGCAACGGCGGGACTGGGCACGTGTTATGTTCTCTGATGAGAGCAGATTCCTCATCTTCAGAAACGATGGACGGCAGCTTGTATACCGACGATTTGGTGAACGTTTGGCGCCTAACTGTATCCAACAGGTCCGGCCGTTTGGAGGTGGAGGGTTAATGGTTTGGGGTGGCATATGTGATGACGTCAAAACGATGCTCGTCGTAATTCGTGGAAACCTGAATGCACAGCGTTATCTTGATGACATCCTACGGCCTGTTGTGGTGCCCTTTATTCAGCAACAGCCTCGTGGACTCCTTTTCCAACATGACAATGCAAGGCCACACACAGCAAGATTGACACAGAACTTCCTTGCCAACGCCAACGTACAGGTTTTGCCATGGCCCGCATGTTCACCGGACATGAATCCCATCGAGCACTTATGGGACCACCTCGATCGGCAAATCCGACGTCGCCGTGTGCCTCCAGTCAACGTCCAGGACTTGGAACGATGTCTCCTCGAGGAATGGCAACGCATCACTCCCAACGTCATCAGTCCGTAGGCGTGTTCTGGCATGTATTGATGCTCACGGTGGACATACCCGCTACTGACTTGACTTTGAGACGTGTGGTGTGACATTTCCCGTTGTTTCTGTGAATAGTGCTCTAACGAAATGTTCATTTTTCGACCCCACCCATCTTTAAAGGCTTGTCATATTGGTTGTACAGATTTTATTGCAATGAAATTTTTGTACAGATGCTGTGAAAGGATTTCTCAAAAGCATAACACCAATCCTAAACTTCTGCATTGTTTAGTTTTTCTTTTATGTCGTTGCAAACAGGTGGTATCGTTTCTTTTGGACACTAGTTTACATTGAAGCAGACCCGAAAAAGTGAATTATAAAGCGACCCTGTTGTATTTCCTGTTGATGGTGTACTGTACACATCATAGTTGGAACGTTCAGAGAAAATAACACATTTCCCCTACAAAAAATAGTACATATAACATGTTAGGAAACATAAACCTTTATGGATAACAACTTCTGGTTTTTGTTTGGATTTAGCGACGTTTCGATGTAGATTCTTCCACCGTTATCAAGCTGGAGTGGAGGAAGGTGTAAGAATCTACATCGAAACGTTACTTACTGGAATAAACAGACGTTGTTATCCATAAAGTTGTATACTTTCTTATTTACTCATCAACTGTGTGAAGCCAATTTCTGTGATATTGCTTGAATATTGCTAAATGTGACGTAAATCCATACTCACTAACTAACTCTAGAATGCCAATCAAACATATAACATGTTGTGTACTTCTGTCATAAGAAAACCTTGATATGAATATGAAGAGGATCTTTTATTATCCTGGTGTGCTTGTACAACATCAATTACATTAACAAATAGCATCTCTCGCTCTCGTGTGTCGTTTGTGGATTTTCAAAACAGAAGAAAATGTACCAACGTGATCTATTCTTTATACCACTTTGGGATCAATAGTGTTTGTGACAAAAAACCTCTTACGCTCAGGCCCACTGTGCGGTTGGTTTTACAATGAAGTTGACATCCGTAAACAGAGTTACTGGACACATTGTTTGGGCTCGTTGTGGGTGATGCACTGTACCCATCATAGTTGTAGAGTGGGGTACCATCTTCTGTAATATCATACATTAGAGGCTTCAGTAACAGATAAACTTCAAGTACAATTAATGCATAGACAACGCCAGGATGATACATATATATAATATCTATTTATCTTTGGGAACTACATGTACATCTACATGTCATATCATGCACAAGAGGCATCCATAACAGATTAACTATACATACAGATAAATGCGTACACAACGTCGCTTATATATATCATTAATTTATATATTATCTATTGAGATGTGGGAACTACTTCTACAGACTCACCTGTCCATATCCATGTTGAATACCTCATGGCTCCTACCCAGTAGGAAGTGTTGTTGTGTAGAGAGTTTTCCATGACTGGAGGGAGGAATTCTGTGTCAGAAATATACAGATCTCTCTTCAACGCCATCTTACAGTTTTTCCGAGCATCCCACCAGTTGTTTTCCTCCTCGTTTATAAAGATGTGTTTTGTCTCCGTGGCTGCAAATGATTTAGTAACATATTTTTAAATTATTTGTACTGTTTGTATATACATATGTGACGTAGTCAAGACATCTGCTTTCAGATATGCAAGTTTGCTGACGATCACCACTTTAAAGGGTGATACATCAAATCTGTTGAAATAACCAAAGGCAATATTGCGTGAAGAAATCTTTAATGAATCAAAGTCCGTCGTCATTTGCCACACAATGACAGCAAAAGAGATGTGACCAATTATCAGTCAGGTCACCTGTCAAAATAATAATATCTTACCAAAAACGAAACGTCAAAAAATCATGAAAACAAATTCATTGTAAAAAAAAACCCACTAAGTAGCGCATATGAGATCTACGTGGTGCGATCACCGTCATCTAATGCCCCCAATAAGTGCCATGATGGTTGCCAAGGGGTTCTTGTTCCACTCTTCATTATTACCATTGCCGAGTTCCTGTAGAGATGCCGGAGGGAAAGGGCGTTGTGAGAGGGCGATCTGCAGCTCTTTCCATATATGTTCGATAGGGTTGAGGTCTGGTGACCGTTGATGCTCTGAGTAGGCATCAACGATCCTGGCACGATGAGATCGTGCGTTATCGTCCATAAGGAAAACCTCGGTCCAATAGCAGCAGCATATCGTCTCACGTACACATCTAGAAATAAAGCGACAAAACCCTTTCCATAAAGTCATCCCTGTAACGCCCGCCTGTCACCATGCTCCGCTGTTCTTCCAGCCCTACTGATCCCATCCCATGATTTACCCCTCCACACACACACTTCCATAGTGGTTACGTTCGGCTACGTTGGAATCCTGTTTTTCACAAACTCGGGCAAGGCGATCTGTGAAGTCCAGATAGTATCTCGATTCATCAGTGACAAATACTGGAGCTCAATCCTGGTCTGTTCAGTTGACGTGATGACCAGCCTATGTTGGGTCAGTGGGATGTGAATGTATGCCCTCAGTGACCGGGCATCAGCCTAAGGGAGACGATTACGCACTGTCTTAGTAGAAACGTTAACGTCATTGGCCTTCCTCGGGTAATTTCTGATTGTGGTTGCAGTCACGACGTGATGACGTCTTGCTGCAATCAGGAGAAACTTGTCTGCCCGCTGTGTGAAGGAACGCTGTTGAACACCTTCATGTCGCTGGCTAAGCGTATCCAAACGTCTGACACGTCGCTATATAAGTGCAATAATCTTGTGCTGGAGGTTAAAGCCCATTTCACCTCCATGCCCCGCCGATCACAATGTGGCTGACACCGAAGACATTTGCAACGTAACGTTGTGTTGACCCGGTTTCAAGCATGCCTATGCATCTACATAATCCTTCGGTCGTCAAACGACGATTTGATGCTAAGAGGGGATCAGTGCATTTCATTGTTGAAATCCACAGTAGCAAATGCGGTTGTGCTCTCTGATGATGATGCGCAACGATTCTGTCACGATACATCCAATCACAGGTTTTCAAGCACCTCGTGCACATGCATCGTGCTCATGACTGCATGCCTCTATCCGTTCACTATGAAATTGAGTTCCTGTAGGAACATTGGATATGTCAAACTTTATTGATAATGAATGATATTTTTATTTCATTAAAATTTGATCCTTGGCAAATTATAAGAAGTACACATCTATGCGTGCGTGTGTGTATGTGCAGGCGCATGGGTTCAGCTAAGATACAAGTTTTGGCGTTCATAACTAAGAAGGCAGATGTAAAACCCAATTGATGATAAGAGGGTTATTTTGATTATTACCTCTGTCAAAATCGTGTCACTATTCGTCGGCCGTAAGAGAGACGTACCCCTTTGCCATTACGATAAGTCCACTCGGGTGTAAAATACCATCTTTTACGAACAACATATTCACTTACATTTTCTTTATGAGACCGATGAGCAAATAGTCCTTTGTATAAAGTAATCGCAAATGATAAAAATAAAGAAGTTTGTATGATTCTGTTTGACTAAACATTTTAAATGAACAAATAAAACACCCAAACTGATATTATATTAGTGAAACTAAACCTAATGACAATCGTCAAGCATTCATGGCCGTTTAACGTGCTTTTTTTACGCGAACATTTTAAAGTGATTCACAATTATATACATGGTTATGGTCGGAATCATACAATCGACTCTGCTTTGGGCAGAAAATTCTTTTGTATATGGAAAGGGTTTTGTCGCTATTAGTTTGCCACAGATTACAGGCTTGTTGTTAGACATGCCCGAGCCTAATTAATATCCACTTGGATATGCCAATCTCGATCTTTTCACCTGTGCGAAAAAGGAAAACTCATTCCACGGTCAGGTAAATCATCGTCTAATTGGAGGAGTTAAACTTGAAAAACCATGTTTGATTGTTTGTTCTCATTCTGCCGATGTATAGAACATTGTTTCAAAATTGTTTGTAAGCATAGTATCATCACTATTTGATTGTGATTCACAAACACATGCCTATGAGATAGTCGGAGTCGTACCATGGATTAATATAAGCGCAGATTACTTATTATTATGGGACGCAGATTACTTATTATTATGGGAATGGTTTCATCTCTTTTATAACATAAGGGGATATTGTCACAGAAGAACGTTCATCAAGCCGAACATAGGGGGGTGGGGGGTGGGGGGTGGGTGGGGTGTCGACAAGAAGTTTATATGTCATCAAAGGAAACACAAAGATGGGAGAGCATGACATTGGTGTAAATGTTCTATTTGAGATGAGGCAAAGTCAGAAAATGTGTAAAACAGCTTGATAACGCTAGGTGTAACGCTTTGTGGTGATTACAGACTGTTGTCATATCTTACACATTTACCTCATTTCACAATACCGGACACAAATCAAACAATCATATAAAACAACCATAAGGGGTATTTACGTCCAGGCAGGGTGTAGACATGCTCATAAAACTGCCAATCATTGATATCTTTTGATCGGATATACGACGCTATATATTTAACCTGGTGGTTATATACATTTGTTGTAACTATCTATTATTATAAAAAACACGTTTAACTGTTTTTACTTTGTACATTATATGTTGCTGTCCATTGAACGTGACCAAAATACGTTTGCACAATACAATACTTTTTACGCATGGATAAAAATATAACATTCGATCGACTGGTGTTTAATTACTAAATCAGAAAATAACGCATATCTAGAAAAAGTATATCGAATTATGTTAGGAGCCCATTACCTCTATGCACAAATATCAAAGTCAGTTGTTTCAGTATTTGTTGTCATATAAAAATGATTTATTTAAAATAAGGATGTATTTGAACAAAGGTGATACCGTGGAACACAATACTGTAGCACAAACCCAGTTCCTGGTATTGTTTGATACATTTGGATAACATTTTCTGATACATTAGAAATGAAGCTCAGCTTACATTTCACTTGATGTCACCTGATTTGACATTATTATACCATTCTGTGTTGACGTCAGTACGTCTATGTTCACTTTATATATGCTAACGTTTTCATATGTCATTTTATTCTCATTTTCACCGAACTAAAAATATAGCCCTATGTATCAATTCTATAGCGATACATGATTGGGAGTTTTATGAGAACATCAACGTCCTGATTCGATAACTTCCTTATGCCAGTTTAATTTTTGTCCGGGATTGAAAAATGAGGTTAATCTGTGACATATAACAATATTCCGTACTTATAGCAAATCAATGCACCAAATAAACGTTGGTATTACCTTTTCGAAACTTAAACATAATGTCAATATATTAACAGTTTGTGCTACTTCCTTGTGTCGATCGCACAGAATCCCCAAAGTACACTCAAAATCTTAATAGACATATGCAGAACATACATTTAGCTAGACAGGGTATATCATAAACTGAATAATTGTTATTTACTTAATCACACATTGTTCCTGTACGAGACTTTACATAAACCTACCCCAATTATATACTGATGAAATACAAAAAATGTGCACATCACAATATATCATTATCAATTTTATCGCTGTAGTATATGTAGTCAGTAAATAGCTGATGTCGTTATCGTCTGAAAGAATGCAGGACACCGTGTCAATTTACAGATAATTCCTTATTTCCTACCATCCGTGTATTGAAATAAGTGTTATCTTACGTGAATGAAGAAAAGAGATACGTTAAAGACACTGAATTTCAACTGACATATCCAAAGACACACTGGGGCGAAACAGTGCGGGATAAATTGAAAGAATGTAGTCAACCATACAATGCCCAAAATTTAACATAAAAACACAATGTTCACATATGTGAACTACAATACCATATCGTGACACAAAGATCGTCATAAAAATTGAATGTATAAAGAAAATCTTAAAGAATGATGTCATACACCGAGATGCTGTTTCTTGACCAATTTTAACTATTGCAGTCACATATTTCGTTATATACTTGCGGGAATACTGCATGTAATTCCACGCGATAATAGTATCAAAACTAAAGGCCCAGACATGTCCGAGATATTTCTGGCTTTAAACCATATGTATTAAGTTGTGATATAAACCACATTAAACGTAAAGACATTAAAATGACTTAAAAGGACATCATGTGAACACGTTTACTTACATATGTTGACACTAGTTGCATATACACAGTGCAGGTAGCAGACAAGCAGCCTCGCGGTCCACATATCTCCGGCCTGTGTGTCATGCATCTACTCGTGGTGGTGTATCCAACAGGGAAGAAGAACGCTCACAACGGTTCGAAAGAAGGGATTATTATATTGGCAAAACCCGTGAAAGACGTCTTTGTTCGATGAATTGCAAAATCATAGCACCGAGTTTTCCCTATACGATAACATATACGATGAGCTAAATTTAGTTACGAGGGTTGATTGATAAGATTTGAGCCTCACGAAGAATTGAGTAAGAGTGAAATCTTTCCTTGAGGACATTACATGTCATAGAGGCATATTCACAGTACACGCGTCCTTTGAGCAATATGTTTCGCTGTGACAAGTCAGTAAAATAAGGAGGGTCTGTTGAACAAAAGCCTTTCTGGATCAGCTTCAAACAGAGATAGATTAGCACGAGACACGTTGTGCTTGGTGCGTTTTTGATCAGATGTCAGAAGCTTTGGAACCCAACGATTTGATACTTTCTTCATTGCCAGAGTTTCTGTGAGATACTCTGTCCTGGGAAATGATTACTGAACGAGCAATACGACGCCCAGATTTAAACTTTGCGGCCCACCTCTTTACAGTTGTATAGAAAGTAGCATCCATTCCTTCGTACATACCTCAGCTCAATATTGCATGCTTTCCAACAGAGGAAGAGACTATCCTCCCCATTACTTAGTTCCTTTCCTTCAACAGTTAAGCGAATCTTCATAACCTAAACTTCGTTTCTGTGTCTTCACTTTGCATGTCTTTATGACGGGTGCCACATGTGGGGCAAGATACGCTCACCTTTTCGCGAACACCTGATATCATCACTATTTGATAGTCATTGCTTAACATAAGCAAATGATATGCTCAGAGTCGTACATTACTAAATTCGTAGCCTGCAACGGCGTTGTACATACTCTACGGACAACGAGTTCCAGTTTGGCTTGTAATGTTCCATCTTGAGGTCACAAAGAGCATCTGCTGAAAATGGCAACACAGTCATGGCTGATGAAAAAATGAGTTATAAGCGTGAAACTTGTCATTACACATACATGCTGTCGACAATGTTTGATGGGCAGTCAATCGGGTGCTCTAAAGGATATATACGGTTCGTTTTTGTTCATCTTATTTGAAATCCCGGTTAAAATCACGCTCAAAATGTCTGACGCTGCAAATCATTCTCGCTGCACGGTCAGCGATCTAGTTTATCGAAAAAGCTAAATAGCTTATCGTAAAGGTAACGTGCGACCTTATTTTCTGTGTTTAATGATCATTAAACATAATCCACATGAACGCAAAACATTTCGTTATTAACTATGTCAGCTGAGGGAAAATCGTCCAACTGTGCCCTTCATACTGTGGTCAGCCTGAACCATGTGAACTTACACGTTCGTTCATTCGGCGAAAGAGATGATCAGCTGTATGTGCATATTTAAAATAAGATAAGTTAACTATTTTTTGCTAAAAAGCTTCAGCGTTTGATAATACAATTACAAATCAACATTACATCTGGATGTTTTCCTTTGTTTGCAATAATCACGGTCCTAACGTTTGTTTATTGATTAACGACGCATTCAGCAATAATCCAGCTGTATAACGGCGGGTTGTAAATAATCTGGACCAGACAATCAAGTTATCTTTATCCGTAGAAATCATTTCCAACTGAAGAAGGAAAAGAACAAACTTAAAGAAATAATTAGTAGCATATTACACCTATCAAGAGAAACAGGTCAGTGTTCAAAAACAAATATGCGTCTTGTTTATTTCCAAATGACTGAATGTATACTCTATATTAACCATGAATATGTTGCATTGCTGTGTTGAGGGTCTCCTTGAGAAGGACATTCGGGTTATATTTAAGTTATCGATTTGCGAAGTGACTTAAGTTTAATTAACTATTATATTATGCTTATTTAGTAGTCATGATCACCAGCCTAGACAAGCATGTAGGGGGCACGTGTGTCTTTGGTGCCACTATTCGGTGTGCAGAGCGGCGACCCTTTGGCACACCAGAAACCTATAATTGTGGGTTCGTATTCTGGTTTCTCCCCAATTGTGTTTCCAGGTTTGCCAGCACCATGCTCGTGCTCCTGGATTCCAAAGTTGTAACCTGCAATACCTCCTGACAAGCAGTGATATAACTGTAATACTGTTAAAAACGGTATTTAACCCAACTAACTCACTCACTTACGAAAGAAAACAAGACGTGGTCGTCCTAAAGGGTAAGTAAAGTGAAAGGAAACTATGTTTCGAATATCGACTTTCATAATATTCGTACAAAATGTTTTCAAATGTCCAAGTGAAAGTGCTGAAATCACACACTCTGTATTGGATTGGCAAAGTCAGTTTACATCTGCTACATATTTAGATCTATGCATAAAGAGTCAGAGTGACTCTCCACAAGACTGTATGACAAGAGGGGGGAGGATTTCCTATTTTGGCTTCTACCACAGGTTCCGGTATTGTTTTAGGTAAACAGTTGACCTGTCTTTGCATGATTTTGTGAGTGAAGCCACCAATAGAGCAGGATACGCTCCCCTTTTCGCGAACACCTGGTATCATCACTATTTGATAGTGATTCAAAACCACATGCAAGATACAGTCGGATTTGTACAATCGACCCGAATCGATTTTACGCAGAGATTTGTTATGAATATAGAAAGGGTCGCTTTTATTTAAAAGATCGGTTGGCCAGGCTAGCTGGCTTGGGTGATTGACTGTCATCCTACCTGACGGCGTTGGATGTTGCTTATGATATCAAACGCTAGTTTTCGGGCCTATATGAGATATTTTACAGGCCGTCGTGATATCATAGCTGTGATATTGCGGACTGCGTCATTAAACACAATTGTACCACGAATCTGGAAATTACTTGATTCCGAATGGTCAATCAGAGATATCCAATCAAGATAACCACCTCTGATCGATATGACGACCGTATCAAGCGGCATCCTTCAAACTGTGGACAGAGCTGGCGGAAGTTTATATCAGTTGCACGTATAGAGACAAACTGAATATGCAGGCAATTTTGGCCCTGCCCGCTATGATTTAATAGCGAAATTGTTGAGTAGATTGTACTCTTATTTTCACTGAATTGTTGATGTATACCTAAGTACATAAACCACTTTCATTCACAATGTTTCGATTTCTGCTGTAAATGTTTTATCAGGTTATAAACAATGAGCACCGGTTGGTAACATCCACTACTCAGAACCAAACTTACCTTTACCCACACAAACATGTATGACATGATTTGTTACATGAAGTAACCGAGTAGCTAAATTTCGGAACACGATTTTAAGATCGTCTGGAAACAATACGTATAAATTAGATTGTTTCACAATATAAGACAGAACACTTTTGTGTATAAAAGTACATTTTATTCATATAGTTTCAAGAGGATGACTATCATTCAAAATCAAACGCAACCTGCAGATGGCACTAAATTATTATGAGTGTGTATTTAATGTGCATTCATATTTCAGCTCCCGGGAAGAACACAATACATTCTGCTTTATAAGACTAGGTTAACATACGCACTACGATCTCACCCTACCTGGTACCCATTCACTAATACCCATGTCGAACAAAATATCTTGTCTAAGGAGATGCATGTAACCTTTGTATCAGTGTGCGCCAGGACCGAAATCCTTGAAACTGTCTCGGTGCCGAACATGGACCCACAGCTGAGATCCAACATTTTGTCAAATAGGTCAGTTAATGCTAACATAAACTCATGTATCCGGCCCCAGCTTGAAATATTCGCAGATAGAGCATGATCGATATCGATTGTACCTCAAAAGTTTTGAAATGTAGACAAAAAAGCTGGAGCTGCTTGAATATAATGGAAAGGTAAAATACATTCAACTTCTCAAGACATTTAAATGCAGCATTCGATAGTACTTAGATAGTACTAAGACTACCAGTTAATAAAAAGCATAACAACCCTTCCCGTATTCATAACAAAAACATGAATAAAAAGATAAACAAACGATGGTTTGTAAAACTATTTAAATTGTTTGTTTGTTATTTAACGCCGCATTCAACAATATTCCAGCCATATGACAGCGGTCTCGGCCAGACAATCCAGTGACTGACATCATGAGCATCGATCCACGCAGTTGGGATACGATGACATGTATCAACCAAGTCAACGAGCCTGACCACCCGATCCCGTTAGTCGCCTTTTACGACAAGCATAGTAGCCTTTTACTGCCAGCATGGGTTGCCGACGAGTTATTCTACCCCGGATCTTCACGGGTAAAAAACAACAACAACAAAACAAATACTAAAAAAGTAATCAGATGAATAATGTTGCCTAGGCTCGACATTTTAAAGCAAGTCGTAATATGACTTTACTACTGTTGATTGTGGTGTTAAAACAACAAATAAAAAAGCAAGTAAATATAGTTCATAACATTGAAGATTAGTGTACATTTTTTTAAAGTTTTAAATATTCAAAATGCCCTTCGATAAAAAAAAGTCATACAGAAGACTTTAACTAGGGGGCTAATGTGTAAACATCGAGATAAACTGTTTCTCTTAAATTATTATATAAAATGACATCTAGAATAATGTGTATTTCATTTTCTGAACTCATCTACATTTTCCGAATTCCAAAACTCGAAAACTCTTAATTGTTTGGAATATGTGTCTGATATTTTACAATCGTCAGTCTATTCTGTGACTCAAGACATTCAACCTACACTGTACTTTTTTCCGGGGTAGCTAACACGGCAAATGTATGATTGATTATATCATCGTCGTACATCTCAATACACCTACGCATCTTTTCGCAATGAAATGAGTGAGTGAGTGAGTGAGTGGGGTTTAACGCCGCTTTTAACAGTATTCCAGTGATATTACGGCGTGTGAGCTTAATGTGGGAGGAAAGCAGGTGTCAGACGTTTACCACTTCGGTGAAACCCACGAGCACGGGTATGGTGCTGACAAACCTAGAAACATAATCGGGTCGAACCGGGATTCGAACCCACAATCATAGGTTTCTGGCGTGCCGAAGGGACGCAGCTCTGCACAGCGAATCGCGGCGCCTTATACGACTTTGCCACCCGTGCCCCCGCAATGAAAAGATATAGAAAGATTGAAAGAACTTAACGTCAGCATTAACCACTTCACTTTTTTTGAAGTTTTGTTTTAACTGACTCCTACAGGAGACAACCTTTTGAGAAACTCGTTTTTACTTGTAATAGTTCAATGTTCAACTGCATCACTAATAACAAAAACTAACTTTAACCACTCTTTACCTTAAAAGTACTAACTTTAATTTATTCCATAATTGTTACGTAACTTCCGTCAAGATATGGCTCTTTGACCTGTAAAGAGAGACTTTTGCTTCAATCAAACTAGTTTTATCCAGCAACACTGGAAAGATAATCCCATCTTACTGTACAGTTATTTTTTCTCATGTCCTAAAAGTATTTCCCTTTGTACGACCAAACACTCCTACCTGTACCATCGTGATCTCTGCAAGCAAATACATCATTACCACGATTTCAGTTATCTCTGACGACAGATCATGTGTTATACTAATCAGTGGCCTTATTATGGGTCTCATACGTATGGTTGTAAGTGTCATCCAACCTGATCACAATAGGCCCAGCACTAGCGACATCATATGCACCTTCTATAAACCCCTTGTCCATCGCGCCTATGTGACTGTACGAGTCATCTACTTTTCTGGCCTTCCCCCCTTGATGTGTGGTGTCGTAGTTACCCTCTGCTGCTTCCGTGTGGTCATACAAACCAGCATCACTTTCATCCCTTCCCGTGGAGCTGCGCTTCTCGAGGATGTGGTACTGAACACCCTCGGAGTTGGCTACACCAGTACCTCCTGCAGATCTATCCAGCCCAGTGTCCCCTCCATCTCCGCTTCTCGACTCTAGAATACATTCTGCTGTGTCGTAGTCGGGTCCGGAGATGTGCATGTGGGGCTTTCCTCTTGGCATGTCGGTGTGTTGTTTACTTGGCGTTGAGAGGGAATTGGACACCTTCTCAACATCAGTCTCAGGATGGTTCACGTAGATTTTCGCAGTGTGAGTGTTTGGGTTTACTGTCACTGTTGGAACAGGGGGAGTGAAAGGCTTCCCGTCAATTGTGTCTGGGGTTATAACAGAGTATGCTCCATTATCTCTCGGAACATCGAAACCGTCGTAGGTCGTGTTTTCTGTTGGCGGGTTGAGGTTCACCTGTTGATTCGTATCTTTTCTATCCAAACGGAGTTTCCGTTCTCTGAAACAACATTTGCAACATGATTGAATGTGATGTACATGCCCTTAATAGTAACTTTACATTAGTTATGATTATGACCTGTTGAAGACCATTGATTCGTATCTTTTCTAGCCAAATGGAATTTGCGTTGCCTGAAACATAATTAGCCACATGCTCTAATGTGATGTATAAAATGCCCTGAATCGTAACTTTAAATGAAATATGTTTACTTAATTGTTTCTATTTAGCACAGTAAGTGGTTTATAAGTTCCAACCAAAATAGATTAATTGTACTCTTTGATGTGATGTCATATTTTACAACTTGAAATAATCCTCGAAACACTTTTAAAGCAAAATGGCCAAACACACGAATGAATAGGGTCACTCAGGTCGCCTCAACCCCGCAGGTTATCTCGGCCGGAATTGAGAGAAATCCACATTGGAATAAAAACGAGTTCGCGTGACTGTCATATTACTGACGGCAATCGTGACCCTTATCTAAATGCTGTTCGATATCAATTGTACATCTACATATTAGGAGATGCTATTTCACAAACAGTTGATCCGAAGATGGAAAGCCACTTCATAAATGTAAGCAGTTAAGCAGTTAACAATATACATGTCAAGAATGGTCTTTTTTTCACTATTCAAAAAAGTGCTGCTAAGAAGCTCACCTTTGCAGAAGAAACACTAAACCGATGACTATCAGTAAGAAAACCGCATTGCCGATAGCCAGTCCTATGATAACACCTGGGAATATAGAAAAATGTGTATGTTAAAAGGATTATTAAACGTGTTAAACGTACACAAGAAAATGGTTTTACACCACATTTAACAATATCCAAATATTAGGATTCGAACCCGTATTTCTGCGTGACAGGGCTACCCTCGGCGACTGCAGTAGATACTTACCTCTCTGACTACCAGCTTGTCCAACTACATCTGACTGCTTGCCAGTAGAGGGATGGGAAGGAACATCCGTGGAATCTCCTCCTGACGACGGCGACTGTGTTGATGACGGCGTTGACGTTGATGTAGACGTTAACGTCGATGTTGATTGTGATATAACTCTTTTAGCTAAGAATGAAATTCTATTCTTAAACAAATGTCCAATAATCGGTAAATGTCATTGCGAATGTTCACATTAGTGACGAAGTTTGATGTGATTCATTTGGGGGATATCTTATCACTAAAGAAAAAACCCTACATTTGTACATGATAACAACTTCCAACAGTAGACGTAGGGTTATCTGTGGGTCCTTCAACTAGCGAAGTAAAATCACAGTGTACGTAATTACAGCACTTGTAGTTCAGACGGAGGGAGGGGGTAAGTAAATGAAAGAGAGACGGCCTCTGATAAGATCTGATAAAAGAAACCCATCTCTTTAATTTATTGTTTGGAAAAACAGCTGAAGAGATATGTATTATAGTCATATCTTTTAACATTATCTTAGCATTGAATGTAAAGATTGAAGAGAATCCACTTATAATTACCATTGTGTAAAACAACATATTCGTCTTACATGCCTATTACCTTCACAAATAGATGCAAGGCGCAAATTGCATGGTATCCAGTACGGCTTCCATATGCCATGGTTGTTTTTCATAGCTAGGCATGTTGTTGTTGGTGAACTAATTAGCGGAAAGTTCTCACCAGAGCCATAGACCTCTTGTCCTGGAATCATATAAGCTTAAGCTACTAACCATTAAGCGTACAATGCAATAAGCTGCAAAATAATATTTTTATTTTCATAGTTATGGTCACTTAAAGTAAATAGATGATTAAGCCTGGTTCTGTGGTATCTGGTTATTTGTCATAATCTAAAGGTATTTTATTCAGTTTACAAAATCAGAGACCCACTTCCTGCTGTAGGCGTTTTTGTAATGCAACGGAAGAGAGAAGTTTTAACATTCGTTATAGTAGCACACGCTGTTCCTCCCATATGATGGTTGTGAACGGAATAGCTGATTATTTGCTATACGGTGAAACCAAGTAATTCCTGGCTGCTGCGTTCCCACTGAAATAGTCCGGATTAGCAAGTGCCCCAGTGTCCCTGCAAGGTGGAGTTTCCGGACTAACAAAATTTCCCTTACTTGAGTATGTAGCCCGCATTTGTCACAACTTTATGCTGAACATTGGCGTATGTTAAAAGCCTAGAAATTCACAATATTACTAAATCATTAATGCCATTTATACAATTATGCCATTTGATTTAGCCATTTTCCAGTGTCATTTTTAATAGTGTGTTATACTGAAATTAGTGATTTTTTGTGAAGCCCATTTCTGGTGTCCCCCGCAGTGATATTTCTGGAATATTGCTAAAAGCGGCGTAATACCATACTCACTCACTCACTCGGGATTAGAATTGGTCTTCAGCACCACATACTTCTCATGAGAGGCGACTAACAGCAGGATCGAGTGGTCAGAATTGGTTGATGCATTCTACAGTATCCCAATCTCGAAGGTTATGACATCCGTAACCGGGTTGTCTTGATTATGCAACAGACCGATGTCAGATAGCTGTACTATTGCTGAGTGTGGCGTAAATCTTTTTTATCCGTTCCATGTCTCTTAACACTAATATTCCAAAATAAGAAACTAAGTAAGCTATTTAGAGTTGGGTATCATTATCAGTAAATGGTTTCGCAATGTCCATATTGTGGTTTGCACACATAGTGGTTTTCATTCACCATCCGAATACACATAGTTTGTGTCAGAACCAAAGTAGCATCATAAAGATGGAATCTCACAAAACAAACGTGCGGGGCCCGAGGAGCGGTGAACGTTGGAAGTCACGTCAGGACATGCTGAGGATGTACGAAACAATGCCATGGCTATTTGGATGCTGGGGAACGCTACAGACCGTTTCGCAGATCACCGTAGGACTACTTTGGCACCGTTACCAGGCTCAAGGAAGAACGTGTGACTTGCCTCGTTCTGAAAGACCACGGGTGACCACGTCCACCCAGGACCATTTTGTCCGCGTACCTCGCCTCCGCAACCGTTTCTTAACGGCCCCCTCTACCACTTCTGTTGTTCCAGGTCTGCGCAGTATTTGCGACCAAATCGCCAGATATAATTGAAGGAAGTAGAACCAGAGCTCACATATGTGGCTTTGATCTGACACGCCATTACTGTCAACTTCCACTTCAGACACATGTCATTCCATTCATGAACCAATGTTACGTCGCTTGTCAACATGACAAAGACGACAACTCTTGTTTCCAAACTGAGTAGCCTAGAACAACATTCCTATACTTCAGTGGTTATGCATCACCAGATCTGAACCCAAACACTGAGCCTGAAACACTCCAGGACTTGAGTGGAATAACATCCCCAGACTGTTCATGTGGATGGTTTTACGGTGGCAAGTTGTCATTGATTCCAATGGAGGTCGTACACGATATTGAGGTGCTATATCATTGAGCTTTGTGACCAGTGACATTGCTTATTTTGTAATGATTAATGAATTCTTCATACACAGACAATAAATATTGTGATACACATTTGTCACCAAATGAATTAGTTCTTTATATAAAATGTGTTGACTTCAGATATGCCTTTCATTTTTCAGTAGAATACCATTCAAACCTGGCAGGTATTAGAAACGTACCATTAATCCATTTCCATGTGACTTTTAGTACAAGCCCAATCCAAAATCTAGGATTTCCTGGAATATTGCCGATATCTCTTGCAGTGGAGGAGATTAGTTTGATCAGATCATTTGAGTTATGAGCGTTGATCCATGACTGCGAGTTGTTTCCCGCCGACGCACAAACGCTCCCATTACAGTTCCAGTGGTGAGTATCTACAAACATATGAATTACGATATCCAATAACGTCGTAGGTAAAACCAGAAGGCATCGAAAAACACAATCCATGAGATTATACGAATATTGTTAAATTAATCATAGTAATAATTTACTACAGTCCGTGACAATACAAGATCTCTATGTTTAGTAGATGTGTATTGTGTTACTTATCGTGGACTGTTTGCGTGAAGGAAGTTTCGGTTCATTCGGAAACGTCAACGATTGAAATACATTCTGAAACCAGTATTTGCTGCTCTAGTTAATGTATTTATTTGTTTTAATGCCAGAACGCGATTATTTTTCTGTGCTTGGCATGACCATGCACGTGACAGTTACGAGCTTGGGTTGACATAAGTAGTTTTGTTTAGGTTTATATTGGGGTATTAAAGTTTACAGTTGTTGAATTCCCATTGGTAAATAATTTCAGGCTGCAGGAAATACTGATTATGTAATAGAGGGATGTGATCAAACTTGTGTGAAGCATACGACAACGTCGGCCATACTTACTGTTGGAATAATATGCAAATCTTCGCCTTTGTGTTACACACTTGTAGTAATAGTCTAGTTTTATTGAGATTGTAGTAGCAGTTTTTTTCTGCATAAGCACATACTCCAGTCCTCCTGGGTTTAAAGCTGAAGTTTCCTACAAAAAGGCGAAAGTTACGTACAGTCACACAAACATACACAAGTTATTTATGAATCAATATATCGTTTACATCCTGAGCATTACGTACATTACACGTTACTGTAAACTATATTACCATATGGCTATAATGTTGACAAGAAAAAAACTAAGAGAAACCGGAAGTAAAGAGTCCTGACCATCAGTATATCAATGTGAACCCCTCTAACATAAATAAAAGTGACAACACACATAACACATGAAGATTGTTGCCTTTGAGTATAATCTTTTAACAATACCGTCCGATTTGTTATGTAATACACGTGTTAATGCGCACACAGCAGTACCTTGTGTGTAGACTGACATGACATCGTCATTGCCACACATTTCATCTGGGTTGCCAGGACACTGCATCCCACCTTCACTGGTATTTGTTACTGATGTCGCATTTCCGAGACAATAACACCTTTGCCCCTATAAATAACGAAACAATGATGAGTTGAGTACCCCTGTCATAAAAAAACACTTCACGATATGAATTATGATCTGTTTACTGCACAGCGGTTCTTTTTTTAGCATATGATGTGCTAAAAAAAGAACCGCTGTGCAGTAAACAAATCACACAGTATCCTTCCCTCTCGTACGTCCTTCATGTGTTGTTTGTAGGTTTTCTAAGCAGAAGGAAATGTACATAAGTTATTTAATTCTTTTAACCACTTTGGGATCAATAGTATTGTGTCACCAAAAACATGCATTCGCCTTACGCTCAGGCCCACTATACGGTTGGATGGACATTTGAGGTGACACTCGAAAACGGAGTTGTAAGACAAGTTGCTTTGGGGGCTGCTTCCTGGAGTTGTACTGTATCCATTATAGTTGTAGAGCGGGGTACCATCTTCTGTAACATCATACATAAGAGGCATCAACAACAGATTAACTATAAGTAAAGATAAATACATACGCAGCTTTTATGCATATCTATTTTCTATTGAGATCCTGATATGGGAACTACTTCTACAGACTCACCTGTCCATATCCATGTTGAATACCTCATGGCTCCTACCCAGTAGAAAGTGTTGCTTTGTAGGTGTTCATCCACGACTGGAAGGGGGAACTCTGCTTCAGAAATATACAGATCCCTTTTCGGCGCCATCGTACAGTTTTTCCGAGCATTCCACCAGTTGTTTTCCTCCTTGTTTATAAAGATGTGTTTTGTCTCCGTGGCTGCAAATGATTATTGACATATGATTTAGTAATGTATCCATTATCGGTCCATACCATTTAAGGCTTAAGCCTTTCCTATCCGATGTAATCAAGTAGTGTCGTCTCATATAAATTGATTGCAATTGTGTTTACATATATCACATTTGTTGATTTATGTTGACCTTGATCTGAAAACGTTTTATTTCTTACTGCTAAAGTCGGTGTTCTTTCTACCACAACGCTTATAATCATGTTTTGTTTTCTTCTGCGTAATTAGGCAACACGACCACAGTGTTATAGATTTAGAAAGTAGATTGAAGTCGTTTGAAACTTCCAAATTAAGGAGGCATAGTACAGTATTGTGAACTCATTTGTGATAAAAGGAATAATATAGAAGTGAAATAATTTTACGGGCTCACTGACCTTTTATACAATGTACCGGAACATACACCCAAAAGTAAAATTTCAATAAAGTCAATTAATTACATTTACAGTATCTAGCTCATGTTAAAAGAATCAGTTCTTATCCAAATACAAATTAAAGAATGGTGAGTGGGTGGGTTTCATTTAACGCCGCTTTGAACTGTATTACATTAATGTAACGGCGTGTCAGCTTGATATTGGAGGAACACCCGAAGTGATCAGGGCGAACCGGGATTCGAGCCAACAGTCATAGATTTCTATCGTGCCAAAGTGACGCATCTCTGCAATTTGCGTCGGCTCAGACCACCCGTGCCCCGCAAATAAGAATACCCTTGCTTGGCAATTAACATAACGTCACTGTGTGTAAATGTATACACATGTTATATAATATTAAGCTTCAAATGCGTCACAGTATATTATGCAATGGTCCTTTAATTTGGTTCTGTTATTGGTCTTCTATAAAAAAAAATGCATTGCATTAAGTGGTTTTCCACTTGTAGTAACAAATTCAGATATGACCTTGAAACTCTTTCAAACAGAGTAGAATCAGATGAGGACATATGGATGAATCTTATTTCCGTGCAGCACTGCCCTACTGGATAACTCAGTGAGTTTGCAAGACAAATGGCATAACAACGTTTAATCGTTTTCTTCAAAATGAAGATATCGTGGAACCGATACTTTAACACTAATCCAGTTCTTGGTACTCTTCCTCCGGTAACATTCACTGATAAATAGATATGGAGCTCAGCTTATATCTCACCGGATGTCACTTGATTTGACGTCAGTATGCCATTCTGCCATGTACGGGAAGACATACGTTTTGGAATACACAGCTCTCGATATCATATCAATAGATATAAATGACTGGCAGTTTTATGCGCATATCATCGTCCTGATTGGATAAATAACTTCCTTATAGCTGTTTGATATGGCTGTAAAGCTTTTGTCCGAGATTGTGAATTGAGGAAAATCTGTGATTGCAGTTGAAACCATTCAATGTAATATTAGGAACGCGTTGCCTATCAAAGCATGTTCAGTAGCCAGCAAACTCGATATGAATTTACTGTTACTGATAACAAATGTTCACATCTAAATTATGGTTTTCCTTGATAAAAAACCTATTACCTTATAAGCACATCATAGTAAATTGTGTTCTTCCTTACGTGGATGGCATAGAGTTCATAAGTACACTCAAAGGTATAAATGAAAATAACTGTGACACTTACAGAAAATACAGTTTTGCAATGGCAATGTAAATTATAAACTGAATAACTGTTTTAGACTGAATCATACACAGCGACAATGACAACGAATTCCTACTCACGTCCAAATGCACACTGGAGCGACACGTAGAGAAAGGAGAGGAATGACAGTGCGTGATGAATTGAATGAATGTAGTTAAAGGGGCATCTGCGGTAGTAACTACCGCACTCTAGTGGGCGGAGCTTATACGAGTGATCTGACAGGTCAATATGTCGTCATGATAACACACACATTTGATTGGTTAATGCGTAAACGGGTGACGTCATGTAAACACCCACCCACGTGAACCTTTTGACAACATGGACGTAAGTTTTAATGGTAATAAATATCTATCAAACGATTCCAAGACTTTTCAACAAACGCGTAGGTCTTTGGTTTTAAAACCTACCTGCCATGTCGTCTTCACATCTTCATAAAATGATACCGCGGAATGTCCACGATTTACCCAACGCATTCCAACATGGAAATTATAGACGTTCTTGTTCTGAGCTATATTCTAGATCTCTGGACGAGAACGAAATACGTTTGTATGAGCAGTGTAATTGAACAAAAAACATAACATGTGTTACGGCACCAATCGTTATCCTGTGGTGTACGGTATATCTGCAGTTTATTAGCTTTTCTCACAATATATACGGCAATCGGTGATTTCAACAGTGTTTTTCTTCGTTGTGTTCGTCTTGCCTCATCTGGGATCTGGATGACAAAGATCGTGTAAAAAACCCTGGAAATGGTCACAAATATTTTCAAAGTAGTTTTTGGTCGTTTCCCTGACAATTTGGCAGAGTCACACTTGTCCGATGAAGCTTCTCGTGCCGAGGTAACTCGATCCGTGAAACTTGGCGGGTCCCAGTGACCCAGATCCCTCTTGATTGGCATGCCAAGTGTCATTTGCATAAGGCCATTCATATTTTTTGTATGTGTTTCTCCCCTCAAGCCTAAACTAACCAAAGAGCGGGCGGACGAAAGAAAATAATATATTACTTATCAAAAAATGTCTTGCAATAATTGTGTAAGTTATTTTATGAGATTAAAAAAAAGAAGTTTAAACACTTGGTACTAGAATCTAGTCTATGAATTAATTTATGATGTAGATCGATTCGCTTTGCTTTGGAAGCGAAATTTTAATAAACAACGGAACAAAGATAAAGCTGACCTGGTTCTTTTATGACGGTGCAATGGTAGATCTAGTAGTATTTCTTTTATTAGATCGGTGCGCAATTTTCCACAGCGGCAGCAAAAATTGAGACACGAAGACATTATATTATTTCACGTCGGATTGGAAATAAAAATATTAAAATACGGACAGCCTCACAGACTTCGAAAAGATGTTCAAATAAATATTTGTTCAAATTAATTCTGTCATGTGCGAGAAAATGGATTTAAACATTATTTTCATCAAGCTTATTCAGGTCGCTGCTGCACAGATCATCCTCTCTTGTAAACTTCTTCGTCATGAACACATGTTTTGTCTCGAAGCTCAAAGCAACAATGTTTCTCTCAGATACATGACGAGCATCTGTCATAATGTGCCTCAACAATCTTCCTGGTCAGTTGAATTCAACAATCTAATCCACAAAAAACAATTCATTCACGGCGTCATCACAAGATTCCTTCCAAATACCCACCACGTGATCAGGGTTACGACCTTCGGATGAGGCCGCCTCCGTGGTCTTGTGGTAGAGCGTCCGCCCCGAGAGCGGAAGGTCCGGGGTTCGATCCCCGGCCGCGTCATACCAAAAGACGTTAAAAGATGGTACTTGTTGTTACCCTGTCTGGCGCTCGACATTAAGGGGCTAAAACAAGGACTGATTGGCTCGGAGTCAGTATACTGTGTCTGAGTGGGGTATTCATGTTAAACTGCGGCATGGTATCTCAGTGAGCTAGCACTATAAATCGGCATCAGTCCGGACTAGTACAAGCAGCCATGCACGTCGCTATATAAGTGCAATAATCTTGGACGCGACGTAAAACCCAATTTCACCTCACCTCACCTCACCTTCGGATGAATTAATAAATTAATTTGCACTTTTAGAAAAGAATTTTTTTCGTGAATATTATTATTAAAAATATCCTGCACATGGTACTTTTGGATTGCACTGTCGATTTCTTTTATTACTTTCTAAAACTTTTTGTTTTCCCCTTTCTGACCACGCTATCTCCTAGCAACCACGCCCCATGAGCGCATCGAGTTGCTGCTTACAGCTGTCAAGAACCTTGCAGTTTTGCTTGTCTTCAGTATGAGCAACAAAACATTTTCATGTAAATCCTAATTTGACGAAGAGTTGTTCGAGATAATCAGGGAGCCTTTAGTCATTTCGATTATGAAATTTGTGACTATATCGTGGAGAAAGTTCCAATTCCAGATGACATCATTCCGATTCACAACTCGAATCGACAAGATGGCACCTCTCTTTCGCCCTTTCAAGTGCAACAGAAACTTTGACAAATTCAGTGCCGATTCTTGGGAGTAGTGAATCAGTGTCACAGCGAGATTTCATTGTGGAACCAGATGAAGCCGAATATGTATGTTCACACTTCTTTTGTCAACCATGCGTGACACGGCACAGGCAATCGCAGTTAGGGAATGGTGCGGCCACCATGTTGCAGAAATTCGTCGATTCGAACACATTGCCCCTGGACTGAGCTAAATAAACGAAGTGTTTGGAGAGATCGCAGATACTTGGACTTGAAGAAACGGATATTTAACGTTGCAGCAGATGAAGGACTGGTGTGGACCAAACGGGAAAGGGATCCCAGATTGTATTTTAAAACTTGTGCGCGAAGTATATCCAAAAACCCCGAACAAGAAATACATCGGACAAGTGTGGATCTAATGATCAAATTCAATTTTGTGTGTGAAAATTCTGTGAAGGAAAAGGAAATTCAAAATTAAAGTTGTCTTTGAATATGTGTATTGGAATTTTCGTTTATCGTAAGTACAATATTATCTGGATACGCCTTATGTAGGTCAAAACATCAAGTATATTTCGTTACTTATTTACCAGTTGCTTATGTGCATTGTTATGTTGATACACGTGACATATTCATCTATTGTAGTCAAGCTGAGAAATATTGGCGAAACTTATGGTGCTTCAAATTAGGCCCCTTCCTAAACACCAGTTGAAAAATCTGTGTAATAATTTAATTTTAATGAAAATAAACTGATTATTGTGTGGCACAAATCTAACTGTTGAATGCAAATGACCAAAACTAAACAAATATCTGTAATTTTCGGATTGAACTGAGAGTCAATCTCGTCGTCAATTTCGTATTTAAGTATCATTACTGTAACATTAACCGAAACTGATGTTCTGCTGCTGTTCTGCCGTAAAAATATACAACACAATACACTTTGACCACAAATGCATTGAATGTGACACATGTACACATGACCATGTGCTTTGCTATTTATAGCGCAACCGTAAATAAGCTCCGCCCACTGTGATCGATGCAGACGCCAAACACGATCGATTCGATTTTTTAGGATAAAACTACAGAAAATTTATTGACTTATATCTTGATATGGAGCCATTTGTTGTATCCGTGGTTTGTCATTCAAGTTGAAACGAAGTTTGACGGTCAATGGTGATCTGGTTCCCGTATGGTTTTCAAAAAACGTCTCCCGACACTCGGTTGCGTTTACCTTGTCAGTCATTGTTCGAAACTGAAACACCGCCACCTTGCGGGTTATTTATAGTCAGGGTGGGGCTTTAATCGCTGTAGTATATGTAGTCAGTAAATAGCTGATGTCGTTATCGTCTGAATGCATGCAGGACAACGTGTCAATTTACAGATAATTCCTTATTTCATACCATCCGTGTATTGAAATTAGTGTTAACTTACGTGAATGAGGAAAAGAGATACGTTAAAGACACTGAATTTCAACTGACATATCCAAAGACACGCTGGGGCGTAGCAGTGCGGGATAAATTGAAAGAATGTAGTCAACCGTACAATGCCCAAAAGGTGACATAAAAACACTACGTTCACATATGTGAACTACAATACCATATCGTGACACATAGATCGTCATAAAAATTGAATGTATAAACAAAATCTTAAAGAATGATGTCATACACCGAGATGTTGTTTCTTGACCAATTTTAACTATTGCAGTCACATATTGCAATATATAGCTGCGGGAATACTGCATGTAATTCCACACGATAATAGTTTCCAAACTAAAGGCCCAGACATGTCCGAGATATCTCTGGCTTTAAACCATATGTATTAAGTTGTGATATAAACCACATTAAACGTAAAGACATTAAAATGACTTGAAAGGACATCATGTGAATACGTTTACTTACATGTGTTGACACTAGTTGCATATACACAGTGCAGGCAACAGACCAGCAGCCCCGCGGTCCACATATCTCCGGCCTGTGTGTTGTGCATCTACTCGTAGTGGTGTACCCAACAGGGAAGAACGCTCACAACGGTTCGAAAGAAGTGATTATTGTAACGCATAATCTGTGAAAGACTTCTTTGTTCGATGAATTGCAATATCATAGTATCGAATTTTCCTTATGCGATAACATGAGCTTAATATAGAATACTAAACGAGCTCCCGTGTAATACCAATTTTATGAAACGAGTGAATAGTTGTGGTATCTGACTCACTTTCGCTCGTCAGATACCACAACTATTCACGAGTTTCATAAAATTTGTTTTACACGGGAGCGAGTTTAGTATTTTAATTTATTACTTGCCATTTATAGCGTTTCTTAGAATTATGCTGTTGAGTGTGAATAGGCTGACACCTACACGACCCACGGCATAATCCAATTGAGTTCAACATAATAATACTTCAAACACGGTCGCGGTCCACATGTCTCCGGTCTGTGTGCTATACATATACTCGTTGTGTTGTACCCATCAAGGAAGAAGAACCCACACAATGGTAAAGAGGAAAACCGAGTGCATCAAATTACCTGTGAATGCACGTGCGGTTATTCTAGTCATTTCCTCCCCAAGGACACCACTTTTGTTTACGTTAGATTTGCAACCAAACAAGGAAAGATGAACTGAAGTTTTTTATTAACAAATGTTTAGCAGAAAAACAAAATGTTACTTTATTACGCATATGCAGCTTTTTATATACTTCTACTTTATGATTGGTTGCGATCATCCCAGTTCTAATGTTTGTTTGTTGTTTAACGACATATTCGGCTATAATCCATCTGTACAACGGCGCCGTGGATCAACCCTGTATTTATATGGAAAGCGTTTGACTTTAATAATGATTATCAAATATATGTAATTTTATATGTAAGGTTCCTGTTCAAAAGAACCACATACATCAGTGTTAAAAATGTCATAAATCAATGTTCAAGTTAGGGTTTTCTGAAGATGGCTCCGTAGAGTAATCGTAGCTGGAAGATAGTCAACATCCCTGAATTGGAACCACCACAGCTCTAACGTTTGTTGTTTAATCTTGCACTACACAATATTCCAGCTATAGAATGGTGGCCTGTAAATGATATCGTCTGGATCAGGCAGCCGAGTGATTCATCTGTGCAACGATCTTCGCCGTCGTGGTACAATGACACGCTCTCAACAAAGTCACCGAGTCGAACTACCCCATACTTAGTCACCTCCTAGGACTATCATAGGTTACAGGGACCAATTATTTCACTGAATCCCCAGAGGAACAACTCAAATGGGAACTAGGTTCAGAGTCCCGTTCAAAAATCAATCTTAGCGCTTCAATTGTAAGTCTATGCTGAAGTATGAGAGTTTAGATCCTCTTAGTATAAAGTCGTTTTTTGGAACGGACCCTGGTGACTTATAATACCCAATTCTTTCTCCGTAGAAAGCACTTCCAACCCCCGAATGGGATGTTCGGGCACTTCGTATTTATTGTTTTTTATTTGGAATCTCATCTCTTAGTCTTGTCTACAACTTGTTTCTCCGAATGCCAAGGGTCAGAATAAAGTCTCTGCTATGCTTAGCAGAAGGAAAAGAACAACTCAAACAATTATTATTCCATATCATTATACCCACTCAATAGTAGAATGTCAGGCTAAAAAAAGCTATTACTCGTCTATTTACAGATCAACTCCTTAAATCATATGACGCAAGCTCATGTAGTCATTGTGCACGCGTACGAGCCACACCTCTCGGCAACAAATCATGACGACCAGATGTGTTGTGTTGCTGTTGCTCCCGATTCAAGCGTTCGCTGTTGGCGTTGACAATGACGAGCGATGTTGTTCCATTTGGTTGGATCGAAAGTGCAGGACATTTCCGTTACAGTTAGATATACTCGTACGGCGTACGGTACCGCATTGATGAAGTAGGATGAACACTTTCTTCTTAAATGTGGCATTCGAAGGCATGTTTTTCGTCTGGCAACACAGGGAGAAAACGACTCGTAGTGACGAGATCAAATGGTTGACAAGCGTAGATCGGCAATATTAAGATGAAGATTGCTTTGCGAAATTAACATGAAAAGTGTTTGGAAAATAGGGCATCTGGAGTGGAAAGAATAATTCAAACCTTTCCCTGCCTAAATACAGGGCGTGGTGACGAAACGACATGGTCAAGGGAACGTCACTCTTGAGGCCGGAAGTGGAACTCACGTGTCATATTTGTTGACAATGAAAACAACGTTGGACAGTCAGTCACTGGTGAGGTAATGTATTATCCTGAATCTTAAATAAATATTTGTTCTGCTTATCGGACAGTAATTGTAGAGGAAGCGGCAACTTGAAACAAAAAATCTTGTTGACCCTGGAGCTACTGTTAACATCATAAATACTGAACTTTGTGAGAAACCCTAACAATAGGGATGCAAGCGTGTATCAACTGGCAATAACGTGTACCCCTACACTTAAGAAACACCATGGATGTGCGAGGGAAAATCAGAACTGTAGTTACATGAGGTTAAATCGGTGACAGCTGATTTTGTTCATGTGCCAGGTGGAAGTTTCACTGAATTATGAGTTCTGAGGATTGGAGTAAACACAGTTTCGACAGAATATGAGCAACTGAATCAGGAATATGGTGAGTATTTTGCGGGCTCTGGCAAATTGAAACTACATATAGACATTGATGTTAAAATTGTAGCCCGATCATTAAGAAGATTGCCAATGCACCTGAGAAAGCAACAGATGTTGGGTAACAGGTCCTATCCCCTGGGTATCACCTATATCTGCTGTCCCAAAAGCTCAGAATGAGATAAGGATCTGTGACGGGTTAACCAGGCAGTTGTTAGAAAAAGACACCCCATTCCATCTGTAGGTGAAATTACCACCAACATGAATGGCTCAACAGTGCTCAGCTAGCTGGATTTAATGTGGGAATTGAACTTGACCCAGAATTGATTTTCAATGGACATGTTTTCTAACAGAAAGGCATTGTGTCTGGAGAGACAGACTGTGGTTGATGCGAAAAGACCTGTAAGTCCAGCAAAAGTAAGAAGCTTCCACGGATTTGTGGATTTAGCCACAATATCAGAACCACTTTAAAAACTGACATGAAAGAATAATCCTTGGACCTGGAGAAAGGCAAAGAAAAGGCAGTCAGAGTGAAAGAACTCAAGGCAGCAACAGTGAGTGAGTATGGTTTTATGCCGCTTTAGCAATATACCAGCAATATCACGGCGAGGGACATAAGAAATTGGCTCAACACATTGTACCCATATGCGGAATTGAACCCGGGTCTTCGGCGTGACGAGCGAACGCTTTAACCACTTTATCCAACCGCGCCTGCAGCAACAGAGAGAGATGAAGAGTTTAAGAAGTTAAAGAGAAGTTTTGAGAATGCTAGTAAGTCTACATACACTGCAATATATATGTATCAGGTTTAGAGAGGTCTGTGTATGATGGAGTCGTCCTAAAAGAATGTAGAATTGTGGTACAAGTGACAAGAGTGGTAACTCCATGACAGCCAGGAGCGAAGAGCAGTATATCAGAAGACATTCATCTCGCTTGAAGAGGTTTCATGTTGCACAACTCGACACTGTTCAGGATGACAGGGACGGTCGGGTAGCCTAGTGGTTAAAGCGTTCGCTCGTCACGCCGAAGACCCGGGTTTGATTCCCGACATGGGTACAATGTATGAAGCCCATTTCTGGTATCCCCCTTCGTGATATTACTGGAATATTGCTAAAAGCGGCGTAAAACCATACTCAGTTAGTCATACTCAGTCAGGATGACAGGGGAGGTAATCCAGATAGCGAGTGACCATACCTGTGAGACGATTTTCAAGACAGAAGACTGTACTAGCTCAATTCAGTCAATGATTATGAACTGTTTCGATAATGTGATAGGTGATAGGCTATCATGATCATGTAGAATTTAAATGTTATAAGTGTGATTATAAGTTGAAAACTTACAATGAACGTTTTACAGTCGTGAGACTGATGGACTTAAATTCACATCAGGTTATTTTAATAGTTGCCGTGTGAGCAGTGATGACACCATACAGCAATATCGTAAAAGGGACTCCAAAAATACTCAAGACAACTCTGAATATTTCATGAAAATTTTCATTTCTATAGGATTGGTCACTTAAGTGATTCAGTTATGTGTGACGTTGCTTTATACTTACAGCAAAGGTTGGATTCATTATGGACACATGCTGGTCACATTAAACACTGCCGGTTTCATGTTACAGTTATATCTTATACTTACCTTTACCTCGTTTATTTTGCAACAAACAGTTTGATCTCAGCTCAGTATTCATTAGTGAGACAATGTTTTCTCACTATAAAAGAATAATACAAGTGTTGTCGTGTTGTTGTTCCATGTAGGACGTGTTTTGTTATGTGAAATAGACGAGTCGGTTAATTTCCTGACACGATTTTAAGATTATCTAGATAGTTTAGATATGAATAAGGTTGTTTCACAACAAAACACAGTTTTATGTAGTTAATTTTATTCATATTAGTTTCAATAAGTTTCAAATGACAATTGAAACTACGTGAAGGTATAGTGATAGAGAAGAAGAAGTATATTCAGTGAGGTGCTGGTTGTATCAAACACAATCTGATTAAACAATGGTAAACATATATTAAGATGCATTGTTTATAATGCGCCTTCCACTCATGCCACCAGTTTATTGACATCCCGAGCATTGGATCAGTGTGCATTCATATTTCATTTTCAGCTCCCCTGGGATTACACAACCCAAGCCGCCTCATAAGGCGCTAGGACATCTTACCAGGTACCCATTCACTCCTTGGTGAACAGAGGCACATTTCGAACAAAGTCATTTGCCTAATGAAACACGTGCTAACATTGACTCACAGGCATTTAATGAAATCACCAGCTATGAAATGAAAGCAACAAGCCCCTTAGCCTAATCATAAGAAATATGTGCTGGAACGAGTTGTACGATTCCGACTATATCGTATGCATATGTTTATGAATCCATATCAAATAGTGATGATACCAGGTGTTCTCAAACAGGTGAACGTATCTTGACCTGTCGGTGGCAAACGCCACAAACACTATTGTACCTCCTTTAATCGACCCCTATCGAGCTCTTCATAGTCAGCAAAACTGGTGAGGAGACCCTAGTTCTACTTTACTAACAGTCAAATACTTACATGTATTTGGATTTACCTCACAAGACAAGACAAGATCAGAGTGATATAAAGTTCATCATTAACACATCAGATCATCTATGACAACAGATCTTGTATTGTAGTAATCAGAAGCAGCACCTTTCACCTTTGCTGACAGGGAGTTGTATTCACTCTCAACATTAGTCCCAGGATGGTTCATGTAGGCTTTCTCAGTGTGGGTGGTGGGATTAACTGTCGCCTTTGGGACAGGAGTGAAGTCTGGGGAAACAGAAATTGCTTCATTGTCTCTTGGTACATCGATATCATAGGTCATGTTTTCTGTGGCCGTGTTGAAGATCCTCTGTTCATCTGTTATTTCCAAACGGATTTTTCGTTGCCTGGAAAATAGGCTTAGCAAAATGATGTGTGTAACAAATAAATAATTAAAACGTTTCAATAGTTAGGGAGTAGGTTTGCGTTATAGCCGTTATAGTTATATCACTGTGTGTCAGTTTGATGTAGGAGGATAGTCCAACATGATGCACGACTTGACATTTACTACTTTAGTGAAACCTACAAACATAGCTATCGTGCCGAAGAACCTAGAGATCTCCACCAACGTTCATAGGTTTCTGGCACTTCTGCACCCTCTGTGAGTGAGTGCATATTGTTGAAAGCCGCAGACAGCAACAAGCTATATCAATGCTGCCTGTAAATTACAGAGTCTGGGCATGGCAAATTAGTGACTAATAGCATGAGCAACCATATTGGATAATTTGACATATAAAAAACAATAGCGCCTGACATTTCATCCCCATTGTAGTTTGCTCCTCTTACAGGGATTCCCCACAGGGTCATGAAGCGTGCCACAGGGAGTATGTTTGTATTGGTCAGCTCTCACAGTGGTGACTGTAAACACTGCATAAGTCACCACCCTACCTGTTCACTGCTGATCGTTTTGTGAGTAACTGCTGTGTGAATCACTAAGGTAGTGCTGTGTGTTTATTTATAATGTTTTCCTCTGGACTTGAACGTGTAACATATCAATTTTGAAGTACAGTACCGACGCATTGATGCAGGCTATAGAAGGATAAATGATGGACACATGACTTTTTGAGGATAAAATGTAAGGAAGATAAACAATATATGTAAAACATGACTTATTTCAGAAATCACTTTTTCAAAGATGGAAAGACATCTTTACACTTAACATTTTGCATCAATAGTAGTTGTATAATGTTGAAAGAAGTGCCTGTTTGACATCTCACCTTCGCACAAAGCAGACTACAGCGATGATAATCAGCAAAATTATACAACTGCCTGCAGCCAGTCCTATGTACAGACCTAGAAATAAACATATACTGTACAAATTAATAAAAGTGTTAAACTTTCGCAACATTATTTTAATTTTGTTGCTCTGAGGATTTCTATGGGACAGTGATAGGGGTCGGTTTCTGTTGTGGATGCTTACCAGTCTGTGTATCAGATTGACCAACTCCATCATCCTGGTTTGAGACTTGACCCTCAGTAGAAATACCTCCGTTTGACGATGCTAGTGTTGTTGACGACGTTGGAGCTAAGATGAGGATGCAAAAGAAAACTGGATATAAACACATGAGATCAATTATAGTCACAGAATGTTCAGTTAATACCACTGCGGAAGTTTGAAATACATGGCGACAGTTATGCCAATGATACAACACTCTGTCACATTCATTGCAGGAATACCTTTCCATTGTTGTCAAAGAAATAGAGCCTTACTTAAGAATTTATTTGTTAATGGGCATATCTATTGGACCCACAAAGCCGTACGAAGAATGGTACCCTCATATACTAAATGTTGACATCCGGTAGGGCCTTACACCAACCATTTTGTCAGGAAAAAGCACCTATTCACTGGCATAATTTAGATAAAGGAAGACATATAAAAGAGACAGGTCATTTGGATTTGTGGCAAAACTGAGGCAAGACTGACAGTGACTTTGATTGAGAACAGATCCAGAATAGACGTTATCATACACAAAATAATCGCATCCTTAACCGTGAGAAAATAGTTGGTGGCCTTTCCACTTATAGTGAAATGATGCTTTATCATTTAATCATGATCACACTTGCTCTACTTAATGGTATTCTGATTATCTTGGTAATAAAAGCGACAGAACCCTTTCCTCAGTCATAAGGAATATTTGCAAAAAGAAGAGTCCATTGTACGAGTTCAACTATATCATGAGCATGTGTTTAAGAATCACTACCAAATAGTGATGATGCCAGGTGGTAGGGAAAAGATTGGCGTATCCTGCACCGCTCAAAACACATGCAAAGGCAAGTCAATTGTTTCATAAATATATTTCATGAATATAAAACCACTTGAACATTTGGTACAAGTTTCTCATAATTATTACCTTCACAAATAGAACCAAGGTGTAGAGAGCACGGTATCCAGTACAGCTTCCTTGCTCCATCGTTTTTCAAAGCAAGGCACATTTGTATAGGTGAATTTATAAACGGGTAGTAATCCTCATATCCATTGGCGTCCTTTCCTTGAAACATACATGTACGAAAAGTCATTGTAGGATTTATGAGTCAATCTTTGACCATGTATATTCCAATCACGTTTAAAGTGAAGAAAAGTCGTTAATTAACTAATAAACAATCAACTTGATCCTCTAATGATTTCATTCATACTGCTGCAATGCCATGCATGAATGCTTTGTAACACACTTCTTATAATAGTAGCAAGCTGCAGTATCATGGGAGCTGGCCCCGGAGGTCACAGGTTAGCGATATATTTATAATGCCATGAAACCTTCAAAAGCATAACAACATCCTTATTGTTTGTAACGACTTATAAGGACTATTTTTCATCAGGTTATTATGTATGCACGCATGCTGAGTTACGATTGTAATCGTCGATCTCCAAGTTGTCATTTTAAAAAAAAAATTTAACATATCATATTTAGCAAACCATTTTATGTTGTTTTGTAGCTATATAAACATATTTATCGGAAACCTGGCAATTTAATGGATTGATGAAAATTAATTGATGTAAATGAATTTGCCATAGAGTATGCTAATGAAACAGCTTCTTAATTCCCACAATTTAGGCTTACGAAAGAGCTGTTGTATTCCCACACCTTATGATTACGGGAAATCTGTTTAATAGGCACACCTTAGGTTTGCGAAATAACTGTTTCATTCCAACACCCTAGGCTTACGAGAGAACTGTTTCATTCCCACATCCTAGGCTTACGAGAGAACTGTTTCATTCTCACATCTTAGGTTTACGAGAGAACTGTTTCATTCCCACATCTTAGGTTTACGAGAGATCTCTTTCATTCCCTAATCTTAGGTTTACGGGAGAACTGTTTAATTCCCAGATCTTAGCTTTATGAGAGAACTGTTTAATTCCTTCATCTTAGGCATACGAGAGAACTGTTTAATTCCCACATCCTTGGCTTACGAAATAACTGTTTCATTCCCACACCCTAGGCTTAAGGGAGAGCTCTTTAATTCCCACATCTTATGTTAACGAGGAAAGTGTTTAATTCCCACATCTTAGGCTTACGAGAGAACTCTTTAATTCCCACATCTTAGATTTACGAGAGAACTGTTTCATTCCCACATCTTTGGTTCACGAGAGAACTGTTAAATTCCCACATCCTAGGCTTACGAGATAACTGTTTAATTCCCACGACCTAGGCCTTCGGACGAGCTCTTTAATTCCCACATCTTTGGTTTACGAGATAACTGTTTCATTCCCACACTCTAGAATTACGGGAGAGCTCTTTAATTCCCACATCTTAGGTTTACAATATAACTGTATAATTCTGACACCTTAGGTTTACGAGAGAACTGTGTAATTCTCTGACCTGCCGAGCAAGTAGGACATCTCACACTCTACACTCTACACTCTACCCTGTAACCTGCGAGACCAATCCAAATCCGATCTCTGGAATGAATGTTTTTCTTGAGATACCTTGTGGTATAATTGTCCAGTTTGACCATACGACATTTGTCATACGCCTGTACCCATGACTGTTGGATGTTTTGTATGGAAACACAAACGCCCCCATTACAGTTGGTTTCTTGCGATACTACAACACAGATATAGAGTACATCTAGGATAATGTGAGTGCTGACATTAACTAAACAAAGTAGATGACACACGGGTGGTACATGGACCGACTGATTGAAGAACATAGCTACATTCCCAAACCCCCATATGCGTGTCTGGTTGAATGGGATTTCTTTGCCATTTGTATAAGTTCATGATCAAAGTCGGAAAGATCGGAAAACTCCTGAATGAGATGATGTCGGGTTTTTATGTTATCAGATGTTTTTGAGATATTTTAGTTAGCTGCGTCTATGTTTATTACCTTTCAGGTTCAGGAGTTAATATGATACAGATTGCGTTAGTTTTTTCATCCATAATACAATTCGAAAAGGTAACCCTAACTCTAATTCTATCACCCTAACCAAATGGCATACTATGAAATCTGCATAAAAACGATATTTTTGGAGAAAGGGGAAAGGAGAAAATGTTTGAAATATTCATTGAATATTCATCATGCAAACCTAACACTACCTCACACTAGATCTTGAAAGTAATGTTCCATGATTCTGATTGAATTTTTAACAAGTTTTGGAAGTCTTCCCCATTAGGTCTGTTTTTAATTTACATGCAATTCTTTTCACTTTGTATAGAATGTTCGTTTTGAAGAAGCAAGCGAAATTGAAAAAAATACTTGTGTTGTCGATATGATGTATAGTGGTTACTGATTTGTAGTTAGTGTATGACCTAGTCCATACTTACTGTTTTCATAACATGGGATTATCCTCTTTTGTGTTAAACAATTGCGGTAATGGTTGAGGTATACTGAGATTGAGTCATTGACCATCGCATAAGCACATGCCCCATGTTGTGTCGGTGTAAATCGAAAGTTTCCTGAAACAAAATATCATTGTCATAACTTTAAGGAAACGATATATCAACAAAATAGCGTATATGTGATCCTTCTACTGACGCGAAATAGATATTATAGTTTAAAAAATCTCTATCAAGCGTTTACGAGCACCATGACGCTGTAACATCTATACAGGCAGTGTACACCGTGTTGGGACGCACATACCAGCACCAAGTGTATAGACTGACATCACATCTTCGTCGCCACACATTTCATCTAGGTTGCCCGGACACTGCAACCCTACTGCAGTGGGAGCTGTAGCTGCACGTGTCTCGTTGTGACAATAGCATTTGTTGCCCTAAATACAACAAGAAACATTAACTATTAACTGTAGTCAGAAAACCTTTATGACACCTGATGTTATTTTATCAAAAGGCGATTCTCTTAATAAAATAGTGCTTTACTTGAACGATACTTTGTATAATAATGAAGTCACTGTTTTTTCTCATGCTTCACTTATCAGTTTCGTTCTCTTATGAAAGGGCATCCCAACGCAGCTAAAAGTTACATTAAATGTATTTCTTTAAACAGTATTAGTGACACACGAGCCAAAAACAAAAGATGAATCTTACGCTCAGCCCAAACGTTCTGTCCTTGTTTCTACATGCAAGATGACACTCGTACACAGAGTTATCGAGCAAGTATTTGGGGTTTGAACCTGGTTTAGTGTAACCGACATAACTGTAAAGCGGGAAATCATCTGCTGTAATATCAAACAAATATACAACATCTTTAGAAAGAGAAAACCAGAGAGTCGAGTACATGTTCATTGTTTGTTTGTTGTTTAAGGCCGAACTCAGCAATATAAAATATATAACTGCGGCCTTTAAATAAAGGAGTCTTGACCAGACAACCCAGTGATTGATATAGTGAGCAACGATCCACGCCGTCGGGGTACGATGACACGCAATCAACCCAGTCACCGAGCCTGACCACCCGATCTGTTTGGTCGTCTCTTACGATCACCTTGGTGATATATATGTTACAGGGACTATGTATAATCAGGGAATATGTGTAATCCCTGAAATTTTCAGGGAATATATTTAATGTCTGATTTACTCAGGGAATATACATAATCCCGAAAAAATTCAGGTATTATACATATTCCCTGATTTAACATCAAGGTTTTTTTCAGACATATTCCCTGAAATTACTTTTGAGGCTCTTATATAGTCAAACCTGATAGAAAACCACAAAGTATTTATGAGAAGACAAATGTATTTGACATGATAACAAATACCTTTCACTCAACTTAACAATTAGTCAGACTCTTCACTGTAATCAAAACAATGATACATCAAACATAGGATAGACTTAACAAACAATAGCTCTTGTACATGTTTTTTTCGAAAATTTTCCTTTAACTCCATCTTGAAAATGTGAGGCAATACATAATGTCGGCAGTTTTATACCCTGAATTTCGCAAGTTGTTGCAGCTGCAAACTCGTTTGTTTTTAAAATATTTTTGTACTTCATATGCTAACACTGATTCTTTGAAGGCAATGATAACCATGTGTTGTTACAACAACTACTGTAAATCTTGTCTTTATTCTTTGCGACTGCGTCAAAGATATAAATCCACTGATGCTTGAGAGGAGGGAGGTGTTGCATTCATATTGAGTATTTACACCTCATTTCTATCCTATGTTTTGATTACAGTTAAGACTAATTGTTAAGTTAAGTAAAAGGTATTTGTTACCATGTCAAATAAATTTGCCTTCTCGATTTTTTTATATCAAGTTTGGCCATATGAGAGCCTCAAAAGTAATTTCAGGGAATATGTCTAACAAACATGATGTTAAATCAGGGAATATGTAAAATACCAGAAAAAATAGGGATTATGTAAATTCCCTGAGTGAATCAGACATTAGATATACATGTATTCAGGGAATACACATATTCCTTGACGATACATATTTCCTGTAGCATATATACATATATGCATACACGACTGTTATTATTGTCACCACTGTCATATGTATGGATTCCACGTCATAGTAGTCACCTGTCCATATCCATGTTGAATACCTCATGGCTCCTACCCAGTAGAATGTGTGGTTGTTAAGAAACTCATCAAGGACTGAAGGAAGGGGTTCTGTATCAACAATGTACAGATCACTCTGAAGCTCCGTTTTGCAGTTTTTTCTAGCTTCCCACCACGTGTTCTCATTCTCAGTTATGTAGAAGTGTTTTGTCCAAGTGGCTGAAAAGGTTCACCAACATATGCTTTCACTTGTTCGAGGTTTACAATATATTTAATTTATGTAGCTATTTACACTGAGGACGCGTACATTCCGATGACTCAATAAGAGAGGTGTTAGGTGTGGATTAAAAGCGGTGCTAATTTCGAAAATCTAATATTATTGTAATTCTGTGTGAAATTTGGCAACGGTCATTTTAGCATCAAGGCGAAAATGCAAAACATGAATTTGTATGGAAAGGTTGAAGCATTAAAAATGAAGGAAGGGTAATAACGACCATTTGTATACCATATCACCAAGTTCCGAATGATGCAAATGATTAAGTTATTAAAGATTATTTCTCTTAAATTAGGATCATAATTATGTAGACATCAATACCTAGATCATCGATGCAAAGTTTCAACAGCATCAGCTGCGTGGTTTGAACATGTGAATGTTTACCACAGACTAGTGTAAAGAAGAGAGAAAATTACCAATGCCAACATTCATTCTCATTTCTGGCGAGCTACAACTAAGATAAAAGAAAACAGGTATGTTTTAACACCTTTACTATTGTCACTACATAATGGACCATAAATTATATAAGGCACATAGCTAAAACATGAAAATCGATGTTGTTACAATTACAAAACAACAAAAATTGACATAAATAACCAAAGCATGACATTTTAACAAGTTGTCGCATTGTCGCACTTTGGGTATTATTATTTATATTTCAATAAAGAACTACAAAGCAACGACGTGACATTGTGCAATGTCGCATCATCTAAAAAGTTAAATTAAAAAAACTCAAAATGTGCGACAATGAGACGTGTTGGTTGTGTCCGAGTTTCGTCCTATTCCATTAATACTGTTCAAGACGGGATCGGGGGCACGGGTGACCCAGTTGTCTAAGGCGCCGCGATTCGCTGTGCAGAGTTGCGTCCTTTGGGCACGCCAGAAACCTATGGTTGTGGGTTCGAATCCCGGTTCGCCCCGATGTTTCTAGGTTTGTCAGCACCATACACGTGCTCGTGGGTTTCAGCAAAGTGGTAAACGTCTGAGACCTGCATGACTTCGGGCTTTCCTCCCACATTAAGCTGATTCGCCGCGATATAACTGGAATACTGTTCAAAGCGGCGTTAACCCCAACTCACTCACTCAAGACTGGGTCACTCACTCATGATATCCCTTAATGCTAAAATACGCTTAGAGAGCTTCGTCAATTGAGAACACATTTCACAATAATGTATTTGATACATAAACCGTCACATAACCGAAGACAACTGTAACCCCCAGAACTACAACTAGAACCAGGTACACATGGCCTTCTGTATATATGTTATTCACTTGAATCTGTCATAAGGAACATGTGCAACATTAGATTACCCTTTTCTATATAATAATGCTTTAACCTCCCCATACAAATTCATGTTTTGCATTTTCGACTTGTAGATGCTAAAATGACCGTTGCCAAAAAATGTAAGACAATGTACACCAAGCGTAATAAATGTTTCCATAAAACAGAATGATTTACTCGTATGTCATGATTATACACAAAAAAAAGCGTGAGACCCAACTCTCTAGAATGACAAATTTGTTACGTTTTGATGATTCCAACAGTGACATACTCAATGAAATGTATGCTAATCATACCGCTAATGTGATATTGTCCAACACATATGTATATCGATATCACCCATGCATATGATAAAGTTCAGTGTAGTATAATCTTAAAAAGAAGAAGCGCAATACGGATATTTCTGGCCATAAAAGCAAAATTAGCTGACCAAGAGGTTCAAAATAATTTAATGTGTTATAGTGTCAGTGAATAATTTTCCCGGATCAAAATAATCACAACAAGGACATGCAATTCATTACTCGGGAAACAAGTACGACTCGGAAAAACGCACCAAGTGCATTAACAAAAAAAACATGGAGCTGCACGTACTGCACGTGCAGCAGCACTATGAACGGTATTAAAGTGCAGGGTTTTGGATTGCCTGGCATCTACTTAAATCGAATAGTGACAGTTCAACAACATGCCAAGATTAACGGAAGTGCAAAAGAAACAACTGCATAGGCCGCTTGCAGGCAGAGGAATCCCGATCAGCTGTAGCCAGGGTTTTTAATGCAGCGCCCAGCACCATCACAAGGGTATGGGATCGGTTTCAACAGCATGGGTCAACGGGTGATCGGCCAAGGTCGGGACGACCAAGAGTAACCACCCCCGCCCAAGATCGCTACATCCGACTGCGCCACCTACGTGAAAGGACGACCACAGCCACCTCAACCGCTTCCCAAATACCTGAACTGCTCAGAATTTCCGACCAGACCGTACGAAACCGTTTAAGAGCATCAGGTCTACGAGCAATACGTCCTGTTCGACACGTCATATTGAGTTGACAACATCGTCCTTTGGTGTCGACAATGGTGTCGTCAACACAGGGTATGGCCTCAACTGCGATGGAGACATGTCTGGTTCAGCGACGAATCAAGATTTCTCCTCCGTCGAGGGGATGGAAGAGCACGGGTCTACAGACGTCGGGGAGAACGTTACGCCGGAAACTGCGTATAGGTAGTGGACAGGTTTGTCGGGGGTAGAGTTATGGTGTGGGTGGCTATCTCTCATCATGGCAGGATAGGTTTGGTCCATATCTAGGGCAAACTTACGGCTCAACGACACATCAACGAAATTCTCCTACCACGCGTCCTCCCAATTGCAGCCAACGGCAACAGTGTATTCCAGCAGGACAATGCTCAACCGCATACAGCACGGATCACAGGAACCTGTTTACACAACAACAACGTTGATGTTCTCCCCTTTTCCTCCAGATCCCCGGATTTGAACCAGATAGAGCACCTGACGACTACGCCGACGTCAACCACAATCCCAGACGTTGCAGCAGTTGGCTTTTTGTAGGCCGAGTGGGCTACCATTCCCCAGGATGTGATTCGCATACTCGTCTCTTCCATGGGCAGGAGATGTCAGGCCGCTATCGATTCCAACGGTTGACATACGCGTTATCGATGGAAGCTGACCTTAACCTTGGACTTTTCCTATGTACCGAAAACTGAGATGACTACAATTACCAAGTGTTCTCCTAGCAGCTTTTCGGCTCAATACCTTGTACGGTTCCTAGTACCTAACACAATTCTGACTTTGCGTTTCATTTTTTGTACGGTATAATTTGCATCGGAATTGTTAAATTTAAATCCTTACAGTATCTCAGTAATGAAATATTATATTTAAAGGACAATTATCGTTTCTTTTGTAAATACAGTAATGTGTATTGAAAATTAATATAACCGTTATGGTGTATGGTGTGAATACAAAAGAGACCTTTCGGGCTATCATATCTGTAATACGAATTAAATGTGCTCAATATAAGTCACAATAGTATTATATGTTTTACATGGTATTGCCGGGTAACAGTGTGTGGCACCATACTGCTCATTGAGATGAAAAAGAAAAACACATTAACCCTTTCTACTATTGACATTAAGAGCAGCATCTATATTGCCGGCGATGAAAGCAGATGGGCACAATACAATGACGCACTGGCCAAATAAAATATTTAATATAACAGGTCTGTGAATGCTTTTCTTTATAAAGAGCGTTTATAAGGTGCAATTTATGCAGAAGTCTGCCCAGTAAGGATGCGCCACATCAAATGTAAGGTGTTAAACCAGCCTGTTTCTGCAGTTGCAGTTATCAGGGGCTTTTGTCTCTGAGAGCATTGTCTACTTATGAAATTTAGAGGCGTAGACCAGTTAATATCTCACCGGATGTCACTGGATAGGACATTGACTAACCCAGCTTACATGTCACTGGAAGTCACCGGATATGTTATCGACCAACCTATCTCAGCGTTTAACATATCAGCCTCTACCAGCTAAATTGATAAACAGGAACAAGCTTTCATTGAGTTACACATGCTTTCAATGAATTAAATTCCAACCTAAGGAAGATCGATTTCTAACTATCTGATACAAGAGAAAATATATGTTGGTTGCAAAATATACAACCGTTTACATCTGGCTTCACTGATTACTGTTATTTGAACATTTAATTATCGACGGCCATTAAATCACTATGATAAAAGTAAATTGAATGAATCACTTATATCAGTAATGACAGCAGCAGTTCGCTAATAGGTAGCGTGTTCTACTCTACCGGTATCAACTGCCACTCTCATTAAAAGTAATTTTTCATGGAGATTTGAAACCCATTGTAAATGACATAGCATGTGATAGCATTAATCGTAAACGTGAATCGTTCAGTACCGATGCAACTGAGAAATGTGGGCACCATGAGCCGAAGCTGATAGTATATTGCTGAGCATGAAGGGGGTAATTCACGAGTCGAAATCGAAACAATTCCGCTTACTGTACAGTTTCTACATATATTTCTGAGTAGAGTAACTTACTGTCTTAACCACATCCCTTAAAACTTGCAATAAAGTTAAACTTACCGAACCTTTAGGGGGGTGGGGAACAAAAACCCTATTGACTCATCCCGTTTATGGTAATTCATAGAGTGGTCGAATTTCCAAGTACAAATAATAACAACACATACAGAAACTATTTTTCAAGAATGACAGTCAGTATATGAATAACTGGATAAATGTTCCAAACTGAATGGTTCCTTCATCAAAGTTTAACATAATTAGGTAAGGATAGGATTTATGGATGAACGACTTCCATATTACAATTAAAGAGCGACGTTTCGGTATAGGTTCTAACACCGTTATCGAGCAAGTGTTAGAACCTACACCGAAACGTCGCTCTTAATTGTAAAAAAGAAGTTGTTCATCCATAAATCCTATCCTTACTTAGTACTCCAACTTCTAAATGCCTATCAAAAAAGTTTAACATAATACATATTTTTACACATACTGAATCCAACTCCAATAGCTTCAATATTCCCAGCCAAATGGCAACGAAGCACTTATTGTTTCTCTATCAAACTTTTAACAACGGCTTGCTGCAATTACATCTTGACGAAAGACAATGAAGGGAACAAAGTGCAAGTTGGCATTATGAGATCCACCGCTCATCGCCGTGTCAGTGTTAATGCTTTATGTCTACAAAACAAGCCTCCTTGTGACACCATCGTACCTGGTCCATTCACTATATTTCACATTTGTACACGGGTATCGTTCCACTTTTCAACCGGTCATCTTTCCATCGATTGATTTATGACGGGTGATTCATGTTTGCGACGGCAGCCACCGGTGCGGCAGGATACGCCCACCTTTTCGCGAACACCTGGTATCATTGCTATTTGATAGTGATTCATAAACACTTGCTCATGATGTAGTCGGAATCGTACAATCGACTCTGCTTAATGCAGATATTTCTATTGGATATGGAAAGGGTTTTGTCGCTTTATTTCCATTGATTATATACTTTCAAAAAGAAGGTTAGGACGGCAAACTTCCAATGTATTCAATAGTAAATCAAGTGGCCCTCAAATTCTTTTAAGTAGTATACGATTACCTGTTCATACTGATTTGTCGCTCAATGTAAAACCTTGAAACGTAAATTCTCCCTACCTAACACACAGGCACGGCTAACCACACCGAAAAGTAAGTTCGTATTTGTAAAATCTTTAAAAATATAAATAAAAGTAACAAAAGTTATTTAGGGGCACGAAAATTCTGTATCATACATATAGATATGATTATATACAAAATCAGCTTTAACAAAAAATATACTTGAAAAATTCCAAACCGCTGTTGGGAGCGAAAGAGTACAGCTGGTCAAGTAACAAAAATGGCGCTTTGCGAAACGAACAGTCTCGATTGACGAGTTAAGTGTGAAATTTACTGTGTATAACGAAATAAAAAAAAATTTAAAACAGCCTGGAGCGATATTAAATCCATAAAAAGCCATCTGTCATTATTTTGCCTTGCTAATCTGGAACTAACGTAAAAAGGAAGTCAACAGTTTGTGTACGGGAAGACACTTACGACAAAGGGAGACAATTTGATGGGAGGTCACTCTTGTGTGACAATAGTTCCGTCAAAGAGTTATCTTCACTGCACTGAAAATATCACTTTTCTCAACTTCGGAAAACTCAGACGTTCACACTTAAGAATATAATAAACACGTTTATACCGATGTGTCACTCAACCGTGACTATTGGAATATAGCACTTATTTGCAATACAGTAAGGCCTTTTATACATTTATACTTATTTGTCGCTCAACTATGACTATTGAAAGTTAGCACTTATTTGCAATATACTAAGACTATGGAAGACAACACTGATTTATTGACTATAAGTTCAAGTCATGATTCGTGATACACTGAAATGTATGTTCTAAGTCCTCTCCAGGAATAAAGATGACATACACCGTTATGCCACCGGGGAGTGTGACATGCCATGGAACTGCCTATGCGACACTATGTAACCCAATACTACGAAAGTGGAAGCGCTAAGAATGGCTATGATGAACATGAATTCTTAAACACGTCCTGGATCTCTTGTACTCAATGAAACATATTTAAACGTTAATTCTCTTGCCATTTTACACAAACACATTCAACAATTTCTTTTGAACAACATTACAGAAACGGTATTTATACATAAAGATGCATGAAAAGGAAATCACGTGAATACGTTTACTTACATATGTTGACACTAGTTGCATATACACAGTGCAGGCAACAGGCAAGCAGCCCCGCGGTCCACATATCTCGGGCCTATGTGTCATTCATCTGCTCAACGTGTATCCAACAAGTAAGTAGAACCCTCACAGAAGGAGGAAGGGGGAGGCAACCTGAGTGCATCATATCAGTTGACAATTTTTCTCTGTGTACATACAATGATCTGTTTAGGAAAGATTACATGACCATGCTCCGATTACTATGCAGACTATTATATCTAAACAAGGCAAACAAACTGGTAAACGGAACACTTCGCATTACGGCCTGTGCGTTTCGGATGATTTTTATTACCTCGCTTGATTTATTTATTTGTACATTTAGATACTTTCCCCAGTATTATACGTGTTATCCATAAAAGTTCAGTATTTGGGACATATTATGCATAATTCGATCATTAAGTCGTCAAATATTTTATCAGTCTTTTCAGAAAGCAGCTCCAGAACTTACACATACACTGGCTAAGTATCAACTAATTAAGACGGGACTCTTGATATATTTACTTTATGTTTTCTTTGTTTTCAGGAATGTGATACTGTTTAAACGATGTTTTAATCATATTTATCAGCATAGGGAATGCACATTTTAAACATTTCGTGATATGTTAAACACAGAATCACCACTGATGAATGATAGGTATCAAATACAAGATAATGTGCTGTACAATATAAAGTTTATTGTTGGAACAATCAAGAAATCTTTCATTATACTTATGTATACAGTTTGCATGGTACTGTAGAAATATAGCAAAATATCACACAAACTGTGAAAGTATACATGTTACAAACTGCAGTGTACATCATATCGGTCTATATCACTACTTATCTTATGCATAACACGAGCTACAAATAAAATTACGAATCAAATTCAGGCATACATATGTATGAGAACAAAGAAAATAACCAGATAAACACATAACACAGAGTAACACATATTCCTGAAAATGTCGGCATATAGGTTCTTGCGAGAAAAACGTAAATATCCAAAATGAGAGTACATCACATCTGTACAAATGATCAGTAATTAAGAAAATAGAAAGACATTTCTTTCGGAAACATACCTAACAATGTGTATGCAACAGGGATCCCCAAGCCCATTTGTAAACAGTACTTTGTTTGTAGATACATGGAGTCATGAATGGAGTTGTAGTGTTGGGAATTGTGGCGCAAACTGAGATTGCGCCCTTGAAAACTATGCTGTAAATCTTCTATAAGTATGATTCAGTTAGTAGATGAGTATGGTTGTACGCCGCTTCGAGCCATACTTAGGCCAAGCCACGGTGGTGGATACCAGAAATGGGCCTCACACATTGTACCATGTTAGGAATCGAACTCAGATCCTCGGCCTGGCTACCTCACCAACACTAGACTACCCCCACAGCTCCTAAAATGGGTTTCTAAGTATCACACGCGTTTCCTGTTAGCACCGGCGGGTCGGTTTATTCGAATCAGTTGTTAACTTTGACAATGTGACTGTACGCATCATCTTCTCTTGGGTTCTTAATTGGATGTGTCGTGTCATAATCTCCCTCGCCCGATCCTACGTGATCATACACACCAGCATCAACACCATCCCGTCCTTGGGACGTGTAGTGACGGAGGACGTTGTACTGTCCCTCCTCGTCACAGGTCTGTCTCCGCACTGCAGGTCCTGTGTGTGCAACTGTGATCTCCAATCCAGTAGTCCTGGAAGCTTTAATATGTTCTGCAGTGTCGTAGTCCCCTTTGCATGTAAATCTATCTGGTCCCGCAAGATGACTGTAAGGGTTTCCACGCGTCTCCGGAACAGCATGTTGAGTTCGTGCTTGTAGAATGTTATAGTCACACTCCCCAGTTTTCCCAGGGTCTGTGGTGGAGTTGTCAGGTCGAGTGTTCTGTGTTATACATGTACTTGGGTCAATGGAAGGACAGTCTGTAGACTTCATAACACATGTATCTGTAATGCCACCAATGACAGAATATTCTGCAGTGTCATGCCCCATACCATGAACCTGAGCGGTCCCGTTGAAGCGGATCTGCTGCATGTCATCCTTTCTTTTGAAACACCTCCCTTTCCTGAAAAATCGATATAAAGGAAATGAAAAATATTACTCATATGACACATATGCGTGGTGACACACATTGATACGACATGAAAATGGTCAATTTCAGAAATCACTTCTCGTGCTTGTCAATTTGTGTTGAGTTCACCATCCAAGTTCAAATCAACACTGAGTAAATTATATACAGCGTAACTTTGACTTCCACACTTACAACATTTGCTCCCTGCAGCAAGACATGTTTATTCTATTATGTTCATGAGCGGAGGAGGGTACGGGTTAACCAGGTGGTCAGTAGTGTAAGACGCCGCAATTCGCTGTGCAGAGTTGTTTCCCTTGAGTCGACAGTCGTTTCTCCTTCTTTGAACGCTGTTTCATTAATTCAATGTATCGTTTATAAAATGAACGAGGAATAAGAAATTGTAGCCTTGTGAGTATTCGAATCCACGTTATCGGCATCAGGCACGAACCATTTAACCACGAGGCTACCAAACAGGCGCTATCGGTAATTGGTATCTGGATATGGCCATGTACCTCACAAGCAATAGTTTAAACTTGTATAAAGTGTCCCTCGTCTATCTTCCTTACATTGAAATAAAAATGTATTTGAACCTTTTACAAGGGTTAATCTTCACCAATAATAATGCTATTTAAATTCCATCTCAACCTTAAAACATCATCAACAACGAGTACGTTCCACCGTCCTTGTACAGGCGTGACAAGGTGGACATTATGGCATAGAAGTCACAAGCACTTGATATTCGACGCACCGTCACCGCCAACGAAAAGAAGGTTGATCCAAATGGTTTGGGAAATGGATGAACATGACCTGCTTTGACAGTACTCGTGGTAACTAATTACTTTTCAGCATGTCAAGTAATAAATCATGTGTGGCGTCAATCTGAAAACCCCAAAGGTTTCTAAACAATGCTTGGTGCTCAGGTCGCCCATCAATGGGTCATGAAATGTAATAAGGCGTTTCACAACTCCAGCTAGATATCAGCAATGATTGACACACTGCAGACGCCTATGAAGAAATTGGAATCTCCGTTGTCCATGACAGACGGGCGGTGAAGACCTAGTTGGACTACTAATCCTCAGATACATTTATCAGTGGACTCTGAGAACACAGGACTACCTGGTTATCCACATGCATAGAGTCTGCGAGTCCCCAGGTGTCTCCCTCCGTCTATGGATGCAATATTGTTGCATGTGGCCTTAACCCACACGCGCTCGCTCAATCGCTTTCGATTTCGAAATCGGCTCTGTGGCCCTGTGGGGGTACCCGAAAGCGTTCTTTAAATTTCTAAGTTGCTCGCTCGCTCACTCACTCTCCACTCACTCGCTCGCTAACTCACTCTCCACTCACTCACTCATAAATATCCATGAGTAGTAATGGACAGAAGATAAAGAGATTACAAAATTGTACAGCAGATAATAAATAGTTACAACATATCACTTTTAATAGATTAATCGTTTGTAAAGTTTATTTTGTATGTACAGTTGCGTGCCAAGATTTAAAAAATACTACGATATATCATCTTAAATTTTTCGTTGAAAAACAAAATCAATAATCAAGACATAATTTACCAGATATCATATTAAGTAATAAATACAAAATCAATATATAAATTTGTTACCATTGCATCGGTGGCACTATTCTCACCTTCTCAGCAGGCACAAAACAACGATGGCTGTAAGAAGTACCGTACTTCCAATCCCGACTGCTATAAACACACCTGTGTACGGAGCGAAACGCACATTAATGTGGCAGACTAATCTTGCCTATGTTATGGTATACACAAAAAGGTGGTTGGGATGATGGCGTTCTTAGAACCCCAATTGTGTTAAAAGGTGTTGTGTTCTCGCGTTGTTGATGTCAACAATATTAATAGAATTCAAGGATATTTTGTGTTTCGTTTACATCTTGTCCTTGATAGGCATTTAGAAGTTGGCAGAACATGAATACATGAACAACTTCCTTTTTTAATTATTTTTTTTCCCGTCACGGCGTGTCAGTTACTTCATGGTCCTTCATTAGGTGAATGCGGAGAAGGTGCTTAGAGTTATAACAAGATGGGAACGACATTTCAGAGCCAATTCTTGCTCCTTCATCAGCCTTAATCATCACATTTTCTTTGTACATTCAGCCCACTTTGTGTTGTGTAAACATATCATATATGTTTACAAGTATAATCAGTGATTAAGTCTAATAACTGGAAATTTCAGTGATTATGTCTAATAACTGATTCACTCGGTGGTTATGTCTAATTACTAATATTATATATATACTTACTCAGTATTCACTTGATGAAGGGGCATGAAGAGTGTCATGTATTCACGTTTATATTTTGTGGACTAGCTTATTAATTTTTACTATCTGGTATATTGTATAGGGCACATGGCTTGCCCAGTCGTCTAAGGCTTGGTTCGGATCCCAGTTCGCTTCGTTTCAGGGTTTGTCAGCGCCACACTCGTGTTTCACTAAAGCTGACACGCCGTGATATAACTAGCATGCTGTTAAAAAAATCAGTTCACTCACTAGTATAGTGTATAGTCGAACCCATTGGTTACCATCGTTACCATGTTTCGTTGCAATTGTCGTGTTTTGTACTCAAAATGAATTACCGTAATTGCTCTCCGAGGTGTCAGATTTCTCACTCATGGTCTTCTTCGATGATGTCCAAGTTTGGGATGTTGTCCTCATATGTTTTGTTATAGAATAATGTGTTGATTGAGACTTGCTTGTTGTTCTACCTGTCGCCATCTGTATCGTCATGCTTCTCGCTGTAGGAACAAAAGGAATAAGGTACTTTAATGTGGAACTGCCACTTTTGATGGCTTGTAACCCACAAAGCAATTAACTTGCACAATGGAACAATTGATTTGACGGCCGCATCACCACGAAAGATAAAGAAATTCATTTGAATTATGATGACTGCAAAATACTTATAGCAGCCTATTGACAAGACCCTATCTGCCTTACTGTCGTTCTGCAGAGAAGAATACTATTACTTTAAGTTATTATTATAAACATATTAACATGTCTGAAATGCATACATCCGCCTCACCAATATTGCATATGTGTCTGTGGCGTCCATTGCAATTCGCCCATTCAAGGCGCAGTCTGGGGGATATCAAAGATGTATATACGGTTAAGCATTTTGGGTCTACAACGTTCTCTGAAGGAACTATATCTTCATAGCCATGGGCGTCGTTACCTGCAAATGGAAATAAGATAGCCACGTAACCTAATGCTATAGAGACCATCTTATTTAATATACCGTTAGTCATCTCTTGCTCACTTGGACCCGTGAAGATCCGGGGTAGAATAGGTCTGTAAAAGGCGACTATGCTTGTCGTAAGAGGCGACTAACGGGATCGGGTGGTCAGGCTCGCTGACTTAATTGATGCATGTCATCATATCCCAATTGCTCATGATATCAATCACTGTATTGTCTGGTCCAGACTCGGTGATTTACATACCGCCGTCATATAGCAGGAATATTGCTGAGTGCGGCGTAAAACAACAAACAAGCAATTCTTACTCACTTAATTTTTTTAATTGTTGAGTTTAAATTGACACTGGGCCCAAAAAATATAAACGTCCCCCATTGTCTTATATTTTACTTCAAATGAAATATGTTGTCGTAGATAAGACTTAGCATATAAATAAGATCATCTGTAAATGTATAGATATATGTACTAGCTAGGTCAGTACTTAGTTATATCGATATATATCGATCTCATTACTTTTCGTTAATTATGTTTTGAATATATCATATATATTTTCAGGTGTGTAAAAAACACAATGGATACTTGCCATTCAGCCATTTACTTGAAGACATCGCGCGTAAGCCAATCCAGTAGTCGTCGCTTCCAATGAGTACTTTGAGGTTGTCATTAGTTGAATTTGTTAGTTTAAGTAAGGTACATGACTCCTTAGCTGTCGTCCACGGAATCTTCTCCGTAGAAACACACACATCCTCTTGGCAGCTGTAGTCGTTATTCTTACCTAAATTTTAAAACGGTAATAACCTTTATAAGTCATCATCAGGTCAATTTCTAAAATAGACAATGTTTAATTTTAAGTGTCAAAAGCGGGTACAAAGCTCCTTAAACTGTAATTTAGTGATACCACTGTGTTAACCTCATGTTCAAAGAACGCCCAGAGTGACACAGGTCGTAGACGGATACCAGCTAAGAATGTTAAGGGTTATCCACGATCATAGGTATGACGAACACAAACCATAATCAGGACGATTCCAAGTTCAGCGAATTGCAGGGCATTAAACGACGGGTCACTCATTCCCTGCCATGTGTCGAACAACGTCATTTCGTGATTAATGTCCGAGATATCTAAGACAGGAGCCAAGGACATATTTACCGACTTGCTGAAAGGTTTCATGATTGAGTGACTTGGGTTAAACTCTCCTGTCGGAGGAAGACCCAAACTTACACAGATCGTAGACGTTCACCACATAAGAGAAACACACGAGCACGGGTTAGGTGTTGACAGACCAAGGATCATAATCGGATTGAAATCGGGTTGGTTGTATACACTTACCTGAAGAATAGCATGCAAACTGTTTCCACTCTGTGCACAATGACGGGTTTAAAGAGATGACCTCATTTGTACTTAAAGAAACAGATGCGCAATATCCAGTCACCTTGGGGGAAAATGACTCGCGACCTGAAAGAATATTATTATGCTCAATATGTACAACAACTCCACAAATTACTTCTGCTGTCTTCTGCTATTCCACTCACTTAGAAGAAGTCACATGCACACCCACAATGAACCTTGTGATAATGATAGACTACAAGGCCAGAGAAACCAGTTAGATGACATGTAAAGGTTCCTTTAAAACTTAATATAAATATATATTTTCATCAATGTCAATATAACTGCTACTTAAACTATGATCGCTCAAGATATGACATGTTTCACCTACCGCATGTTATGTTCCCTGATGAAAATATAGAGAGTGAGTATGCTTTTACGCCACTTTTACCAGTTTCAATTCTCTATTCTCAAATATCTTAGCAATACCACAGCGGGTGCACACGTTGTATCTCTGTGGGGAATTTAACCAGGCCTCGGCTGGACGAGAGAATGCTTTAGTCAAAATGCAAGTTACTATTATAACTGTCACCTTCAACAACAGTTATTATTTCACGGAGTGTCCATGGGTTTAATGTGGGGTTAAACAGGTAATGTGCGGGTATGATTCAGATAATACCAATTGTCAACTGGGGGTGACTGGAGCTAGTGGCGGTTGACGGGCAAGGCTTTCATAGACATACTGAGATGACTGAACCCCGCGTTTCAAACTAAACAGGGGAAATTATGACGGCAGATATGTATACATACAAACATATACAGTATACAGTGTTGTTAAGAGTTTTTATCCTTCAATCTGTACATGATCAGCCTATTCAAGAACATCCGGTGTTTTAACAATGATTATTGATTCTACCATCTGATTGGTTAAAAAGAGGTTTCCTTTTTGCTACGGAAACCCCTTTTAATATATTAAGCCTTTTCACACAAAAAACGTGCGCATGAATACATCGATAGCCTACATATCGATTCATAAAAAATGGCTGCCGATCGATCACCCAAAGGAACTGTAAAACGTATCGATATTTCCTCTATTACACGCTGGGTCTCTAAGACAAGCCAGGTCTCCAATACACACCGTGTCAACGGCTCTCACGAAAGTGTCTAGGATCTTGGACTTCAAGTTTGATTTGACCCGCAATGGTGTCCGATGATGGATACTAAGGATAGAATATGCATAAGAGTATCTGCAAAGGGACACCAAGATGCATTTTATCGTGTCCACTAGCAATCTGGCGAACGGAAGCCATATCTAAATACGGACAACCGGTCTATCACACGCCCTAATGAACTTCATGTATGGATTGCTATTCATGTGGAGGAAATTTCAGTTGCCGTCGAAAGACTAACTGCCCACATGTTAGCATTTATTTATAGCTAATTTCCATCCGTAAAACCTTCTGCAATTGTCATGTAGGTTTGTGGTTACCTATACGTGGTTGCCTATTTGTGTCACAGTAAAGGAGAAAACGACCCAGCCTTGTACATATATCATGCTATGTCGTTTAGGAATAGGGATTCTTAAAATGTGAGGTGTTCACTAAATGCAACACGACCTTAATCATTTTATTTGGGCCAGAGCCTTACAAACTATTTTTGACTACAACCACAATCTCATTAGAATCAAACTCAATTACACCGCATTGATACCTCTTCATAGGTCGCGTCAATTGAACTTTCAATCAAATTAAACAATCACGGAGGAGGTTTCTGACTTTCCGGCTCGAACTAATATCTGTATCTCTAAAACGAACGTAAACGAATGTGGAACAATAACGATCACGTATACAGTCTACAACCTGTCTTTTCTGAGCGCCATATCACACACACCCAAGTGTGTGTATTATCGAGAGCCAGGATTGTGATCTGTGTGGATTTTCTTGTCCTGTCTGAAACTGCCTAATTATGGATCGTGGAGGGTAATGTAATGAAGTCAAATTGTTTTAGAAAGTTGACATCTGATTGGCCCGAAAATCCAACCATTCTCCATTTTTATTTAGCGGTCAAAGTTCAAATGACGTGGCATCCTGTAGAAGATTTGTTGAATTGAATATTTCGATCAAATTAATGATTTGATTATAATGACATTGCAACTTCCATCATATATTTCGAGGCAAAGGTGTTCGTCTTAAGGCGGTGTCACTGTAAACTATGAATTAAAAATGTGTACATACACTGAGGCCGAACACAGTGTGGTGCTTGGTACAATGGTAGTGACAACTATAGACAGATCTGACAGGAGATCCCAACGGCTGTACAGTTGGTAGACCACTGTATCCTGCGTATGTGTAGAACGGAGTTTTGTCAGCTGTAAATATAAAAAGTCAACGCCAGAGACAAATAAGTCTGGATTATCCGACGAAACAAATTCCATTGGGCGCAAAAAACGACACAGCGGCGAAAACCATATGAATTAAGTCATATACCAATATAGACATGTAGTCCCATTGTTTAGTTACATTTTTTTCATGTGACGTTTACACTATATGCGTCATTTCCTTTGGATATCAGACCGGCCATATGATCGCAAAACTGACGCTCTTCAGCGTATGAACAACACGTATGACATTTCATACGTTTTGCACGACTGTGTCCTTGAAATGACGTGCATACTGACGGACTTCTTACACATTCTTAGTAAAGCCCCTGGGATTTACCTGGTCCGAATAAATACAGAAGCCTTTTTTTCTGATCATTTAGACACTCGCAAGCTCCTACGTTCATACAGTTTGTCCATCACTGTCGGAACTTTCACAAAATGAGAGTCAATTCCTTAATATTTATATTCATGTGATTAAAATTACTTTTGCCTTGATTATATACCTATTATATATACAATGTTTCAAGTGAACCGTTATTATCCTACATTCTGTACCCCTGATAATATGAGTAATATGTATAAAACGTGTCCACATCAACCCAGTGCCTTTGCAAGTTATAAGAAATGAATACCTAACCACGTCCAGGAGAAGTACTTCACAGCTCCAATCCAGTAAGAGGTTGATGAATCCAGCCGAGTCACCAACTGTTCAGGCAAATCATCAGACGACATGAGCTCCCAGTCGTTTTCCTTACATGCTGCCCTAGCATCCCACCAGTTGGTTTCTCCAATGTTAACATACAGTTCTTCTGCTCCAGACTCTGGAAGCACAGTGTAAAGCTAACCAGTATGGAATACAGTGGTACCCCGTTAATCCGTCCTGATTATAGTTAAACATTTTTTATTAACGAATCATGGATATGGTGTCATGCCTATTGAATAAACGTAAAAATTCATGACATAAATTGTCTTGAATAGGATCGGGACAACAGGTTGTTTCACCATCTTTTCGCTTTTTCATTTGATAGTACGTTGTGACTGCTAGATTTAAAATTAAGAATTGTTTTTTTCATTTTGTGTGAGTTCACTGGAGTATGAAGGTTCATAGCCTAATTTACTTACATATAGTGAAAGTCAGTTCTAACAACTTTTTATGTCACTATCTTTTAACTGCGATACATGCGCATGACGTTCTTTAGGACGCCTCCAGACACGTTTATATATATCATGATCCCCTACTTTTTTTTAAGAGTATACATTAATTCTTCTCTGTGTAAACAATATATGTACCGGAACACAAATTTGATCTGTTTGTTTTTATGTCGTGAGCAAGACACAATATGAAGTGTAATGTACAATATATTTCTACTCACTGATGTACTGGCTGCCAGCAGATCCACCCTGCATGTACCAGCCAGCTAACCATATAAGCCATGGATACTTAACACTGAGTGAACACACAGTTCTTCCATACACCATGTTTAACCAACAGGGAAGTGTAATCAAATCGCGAAATGTGACACAAATAAATACCGTTAATGTCCGTTAATGCACTGACGTATTTCTGTCACAGCATATGGAACAATAGCTTTATTATTTTCAACAATATTCACGAAGACACTGATATGTCGGACGTACACACACACACACACACACACACACACACACACACACACACACACACACACACACACACACACACACACACACACACACACACACACACACACACATATATATATATATATATATATATTATAAAATTTATATAAATATTACCCTAAATTTGTCATGGTCCTATGCCATCGCAAACATAATAATGATATTATATATTTAGCAACGAAAAAACATTTACTCTCAGTGTATTGTATTGTGGTGTGCATGCATTTGGACGCAACGGTCGTAGTGTGAATCCAGTCTAAGATAGCCAAGCTGTGAGATAGTTCGCTCGTCACACCAAAGGTCTGGGCTCGATTGTCTTCATGGGTACAATGTAGGCAACCGATGTCGTGTGTGTCCCCTGCCGAAAGATTGCTAGAGTATTGCTAAAAGCGGTGTAAAACGTTAAGCATACTCACGCTGTCATGCTTATTGAAGGTTTACCGTATAGTGTTGCAGGGTTGAACCGGATATAACATACAACTGGATTTCCAAGTAATAACATAACAAACTTTATCCCATGATTTAGGAATTTAAAGAAAATAACACGATTTAACATATTCGTAATTAAAATTATTCTTTAAATTCAGTATATAGTTTTCTTCTATGTTTGTGAAGGGAGGAATGTTCTGTATGAGCTGAATATCACATGGAGGAACGCGCTAAAGTCTGTTGCAGGAAGTCAGATGTTGACATATCTCCGCCACTGTGCGCTTATCGTGCCTCGGTCAAACGTTACATACACTACCGTGTTGAACCAGCCTTTACGTGAGCGTTCGTTATCAACAGGACGTCAGTGTGCTGTTCGTTATTAACTGGGTGTCAGTGAGCACAGAGTGTGTGTTCGTTATTAACTGGGTGTCAGTGAGCACAGAGTGTGTGTTCGTTATTAACTAGGTGTCAGTGAACACAGACTGTGTGTTCGTTATTAACAGGGTGTCAGTGAACACAGACTGTGTGTTCGTTATTAACTAGGTGTCAGTGAACACAGACTGTGTGTTCGTTATTAACTAGGTGTCAGTGAACACAGACTGTGTGTTCGTTATTAACAGGGTGTCAGTGAACACAGACTGTGTGTTCGTTATTAACAGGGTGTCAGTGAACACAGACTGTGTGTTCGTTATTATCTGGGCGCCAGTGAGCACAATGTGTGTTCGTTATTAACATGACGTCAGTGAGCACTGAGTATGTGTTCGTTTTAACAGGGTGTCAGTGAGCACATAGTGTGTGTTCATCATTAACAGGGCGTCAGTAACCACTGGGTGCGTGTTCGTTAATAACAGGACAGAGATCATTGTTAAAGGTGATCTTATATATTAGCATCTCGTTCGGGAAGAATTCATGGTTTGTGACAAGAGTGGTGAAGTTAATGAGTGAGTGAATGATTTATGCTGTAGATAAGATTTTACCAGCTATATCACGTCAACCAGTAAATAATTGAACCTTGGTAAGACAAACCAGAGGCTGATAGCATGAACAACGACCCAAAAGGCATTCAGTCTAGACACAGAATCTGATCCCTCTTAGTCGGCTCTATAACCAAGCATAGTGTACTTAGGATCTGTTTTGACCCACAGCCGTCACTAAATTTGTTTCCGATTTAAGCCGAACGTAAGTAGGATGTTTGTGATCTAACAGAGCTGTGAGCTGACGCGGGGCGATACACTTGACCCAGAACAGACAAGGATAAATTGGATGAATCCTGTATGATTACTGTAGCACCATGTTTACAGGAAACAAAAACAAATTCAATGTTAAACCTATCTTTGATCGACACTTGTGAACCGCCTCCATGGTCTAGTGGTAGAGCGTCCGCCTTTTTGTTTGGCGCAAGTCATTAAGGTGCCAATACTGGTCGGCTCGGAGTCACTGTATCTGACTTGAGTATCTTAGTTGGCAAGCAACTTATAAAATCGGCATTAGTCCGTACCACACACGCACACACACACGCGCGCGCACGCACGCACGCACGCACGCACGCACACACACACAGACACACAAACACACCTTTGAGAAACTGTAGAGCTGTTACACTAACAATAGTTAATAGTCCTCATTATTCTTGTATTAACACTCCGTTTATTTTGCATGGCATACTTTATATAAAATTAGTTCCAAAAACAGCAAACTGATATTGGATATAGAAATTGTATGTCATGTGGTATCTAATTGTTTTGAATGTTTTATTGAATGATATCTTAAATACTGTTTTATTGTTAATCGCTTAATTAAGATGTCTCTCATAACTCCATGTTGAATGGTTCAGTTTCTATCAAATCGTATTTTATTGTATTTGATATGTATTCTATCTGAGGTGAGACTGGAATGAATTCTTTCTTTCTGACTGTCTGTCACTCTGTCTGTCTGTCTGTTGCTGTCAGCATTTTCTGATTGTCTTTCGATGCAACTTAATAAATGTATGCGTGTCATCCTACCCGACGACGTGGTTGCTCATGATGTCAATCACTGGTTTGGCTGGCCCCAGTCATGTAGCTGAACAATAACCGAGGGCGGGGTTCAGCAACAAAGCACAGTGACAATAACGAAAACGGAACACAATCAGTGTATCCTGTTTTTGAATACACGATCACGTGGTGATAAATCACTTTCCTTGTTCACACTTTCCGTGTATCTGTGCCTTGCTACCATCTCTAGGATGTGTCATTTTATAGATGGATCATTTTTCGAGAATATAATCTATTTTCTAAGAAGCTAAATTTCCTATATGAGAGAGCGGAAACCTTCACAGTCATTAGTCATGGGCTTGAACACATTCAAAACGTTGTTATACTACCCAAATATCTGCCCAGTTTTATAGAACACAAAAAGCAAGTTCTTTCATTAAACGTGTGCATTATAGCCATAAAACTGTATATATTTAAAGTACATATTCATGGCCCCTCCCCTAAATTATGTATATTTCTCACAACCGTCCTTTTAGATTATCCAATACTGTTTTCAACACTTTTATAAAACGCTAAAGAAGTAAGTCGTCTCACAGTCACTGTCAGTATTAACTATCTATGAATTAGTTTTTTACATCCTCAGAATTGTATATTTGTACCTCTGTTTTTATTGAGCCTTCCCCTATTCAGTGACGGTCGCTTAGCCAACCGTCAGTTAAATGTTCGTGTCCAACGAAAACCACTATTTAAAGCAGCACTCTATAGTTAATGAATTGTGATCAATAAATTTGAAATTCAGTTCTTGACTAGACCGCCATGTCTTCACGTTAGACTCCAGCTCTCACGCAATCTCGGCATCCCGGGACCAGAGGTATTGATGCCTTCAGACTCCCATGAGAGCCTGATGAACGGACTTGGTGAACTTCACGTGACTTGAAGTCTTAAATTTTCCGAGCAACATCATCGGCTCTATTTCACGAATGTACGAGTTTTTTTAAGTTGGTTCACATATTGTTGAAGTTCAGCTGTCCTGATGAATAAACCCAGGATATGTTGTCAACAAAACATGGCTGACCATGAACCTAACCCAGTTAGATAGTGAACAAAGCGTCAGTAAAATATCACATTGTGGTTTGTGAAACAACGTCCAGCCAGCCATGTTTAAACTATTGTAGTTGTGGAATGAAACACGACTCCGGGGTTATGCTTGGGGGTGTAAGACTCGAGGCGAGAGGGCAGAGTCAATTTATAATGTATCTTACATTGCCGATCCCCGATCATCGAGGGACTTACATCCCCAACCATAACACAGGTGGAGTGTTTTATCTATCTTAGAAACCATTGGGGGAACACTATTTAGGTGTGGTATTAGTTTTATTCAATGTATGGCTTGATATACGTCGATCGCATTCTGAATACCATGCAACAAAATATTTAACACATTTGAACTTCTTGAAGAGCAACGAAATGCACCAAGCATGAGCTGCGTCTTGCAAAGACGTAAGAGGTTTTTAAAAAGAAAATGGTTGCTGTGTGTTCGGCTGGTTACATCACTGTACTTAATAACCTTGTAGTATAGTATCGTAAATGTAAAAATATATAAGACAATTAGTATATTTATGAAATCATTTAGATTCAAATATACATTCCAGTTTATGATCAAAATTTAGAGGTACAACAAACAAATATTATATTTCAGTTCTCAAATATTAATTTCCAAAATGATGACTTCGAAAACTATTCTTTTCAAACCTGAGGCCTCAACGGCCGAATTGGTAGCGAAATGTCAAGAGATAATCGGGTAAAAATATTTGTTACCAGAGAAAAAAACAGGATATTAGTATGTTTGTAAAAAAAGTAACAACAAAGGTACAGGTCAAAACACTGCCAGTTCTTTGTGTTACATCTACAGACAGTCCCTATGTTACATCTACACACCTGTTTCTAAGTTACATGTACACAGAGTGACAGATGTGTACATGTAACCTAGAAAGAGGTGCGTACATCTAACATAAATATACGTGTGTACTTGTAACATAGAGCTAGGCGAATAAGTCCCGCAACACATGAATTAGGAAGTGATCGTTGCCCAAATGAATAATTAACCACTGCATTTATCACAGGCTAAGACATTAACAAAAACAAAGGTACTTACAACTGGATGTACTTTTCCAAGATTACGCAACGCTGTCGGCACGTTTGAAGTAATAATTTATGACAGGTGACGTCATATTTGGACATAATCAGTGGGTAGTGATGGTTCTGGATTAAAGAGGTCCTGTCATGCACATGTTCAGCTGGCTCCGGATGCAGGGGCCTCTGACATCATCCCTCAATGTAAGCTGTTGATTCATTCAAAAGTTTGGCACCTCTTTAAATTGCATTTATCTACTTTGTCCCAGGCTTAATTAGTCGGACGT